TAAATAAGATAGGAGACAGAAAACTAATACAGCCCCGTGATGCATTATTCATGCTGCGCCTCACTGTTATGATAGATTTACAACAGCTAATACATGCAAACTAAGTTTGGGCACTAAACGTGAAAATTAAGGGTGGGGAAGGCGTGTACCTGGGGGTGGGCAGGGGGAAGTCTGAGGGCTGCTAGTGCCCAGGAACCCGGAGGAGTTTCTCATCTAGTGACAGCAGGTATCTGTGCCCGGGAGCCACTGGGAGGCATGTGTCCGCCAGCCCGGAAAGCGGTTCAAATCAAGCCCTCAGACCCCTGCTCTGCCCACATCTCCCTTCCACACTTAGCGGACACCCCCCCACCCCTTACACACACACACACACACACACACACACACGCTCCCCCAGGCAGAACCCATTTCCCTAAGGTAAAAGCCCTCTGTCCTTCACAGCCCCTCAGTGAGCACCTACTATGCGCCAGGCATGTCCTGCCAGGGTGGGGAGCCAGGGTATGTGGAGGGGGTTGGTCTGCACAGGCTTCTCCGAGGGTGGGGGAGCCGGGGTCTTCTGGGAGAGGGTTGCCCCTATTACCCCTCACCGCAACCCTGTGGGCGGGAGCCAGGCCTGGTCCCCAAACACAGGCACAACTTGCCTGTGTTCCGGCCCCTCCCAGGCAGGACCAGGAGCCCCGAGGGGGCTCTGGGAAAGGGACTGCCACGGAAGCGTCTCAAGGCTGGCAGGTCAGACAGAGACCTCTGGGTGACCCGGTTGTCCCGCCCACATATGTCCCACCTGCCCCGAGCAGGACCCACCCTCCTGGGCACAAGACCCTCTGACCAGCCCTTTACCAGATTCCTTCCGCCTTCTCCAGGTGTGGCCCCTCTGTCCCGCTTCCTGGAAGGCACACGTCCTTCCAGGACACTTCCCCAGCACACCGGCGCCCTGAGCCTCCTCCCACCCATTGTCAACCTTCCACCCAGAAGGAATGGTCACGGTGTCACAGCACACTCCCACCAGCCCCCCTGGGGCCTGCCCCACACAGGCAGGGCATCCCCACCTTCTCCCACCATTACTGGCCGAGAGGCGGGGCGGGGCCCAGCCCACGGACCCAGCAAACCAGACAGGCCAGGCCCTGTGCTCTTCCATGGACAGCCCAGCAAGGGCCGACGGACCCTGGTCAGCAGGTAATTTCAGACCATGGTCAACGCTCTGATGACAGTAAAGGCAGGAACTGTGTCAAGACTGTGACAGACAGAGGAGACGCCAATGGAGCCATCAGGGCGGGTCCCACCCAGGAGGTGGCGGCTGAGCTGAGATCGGCGTGAGGAGGAGGAGCTGCCCTAGGGAAGCTGAGGGAATGGTGTTTCAGGCAGGGGAACAGCAGAGGCAGAGGCCTGGTGGTGGGAAGGAGCTTGATATGTTCAGAGGCCAACAAGGGGTCAGCGTGGCTGGGGAGCAGGGCCACCGACTACAGGTGGAAGGCCTGCCTTCTGGCTCACCTCCCCATCTACAACATGGGCCCAGCTGGTCTCCGCCGCGACAATCACATAGAACCCAGCCCCATCTCCACCCCCCATCCCTGCCGCCACTGCCACCTCCTACGAGCAGGGGAGACGGAGACCCCAGCCCGCGCCGTGTCGGGGAGCAAGCCTTGCCCGGCGCCCAGATCGCCCCCACTCGCAGAGCACACCCCGCACACCGCAGGCCTCCTCTCCGCCTGTCCCCAATAAGTTTTTTTTAAATTGAGATGCAACCATCATCCCTCCGCTGGTTGTCCGCTCCAGCGATCGGTAAAATGAACTCCAGACAACGGGATCAGACTCTGAAGGTGGCCGCCGATGGAGATAAGGAACGCGGGGATGCAGTGTTGACACAGGCCTGGCGAGCTGCATTACTGTTTAACAGCCTCGCTGCTGCCGCCACTGGGATCAAGGAGCTGAACAAGCGGCACACCCTGAGCCAGACTGCGGGCGCTGCTCCCTGGGGGACGGGCTCGGCAAGGTCAGGGGCAGCCAGCAGGGGCCAAGTGGGCCTAATGGAGACAGCCCGGGCGGCCCATCTTGGAAGCCTCCCGGGGAGCCGTCCACACCACCCCGGGGCCCACACATACCGGGTTGTCTTTGGCTTGGCCTTGGCTCATGGAGCTCTCTCTGCCTAGAGCATCCTCCCGCCTCCTCTCTCCCTTCACCCCTCAGAGCCCAGCCTCCTCAGGGATTCCACCCCCCTAGAACTTCCCTGCTCCCGTCCCTCCTCTGGCTGCGTCTGGCACCCCCTCCCATGGTTCCAAATGGGCCTCCTACTGGCTGACCCTGAGCTCCTGGGGAGCCGACACTGGGTCTTCCTCATGTCCATCCATCCAGCACCCTCCATGAGGGCCAGGAAGGCAGGACACCACCTGTCTGTCCTCCATGACCCTTTCCGGTGCACCTGCCACGTGAGCTACGTGAGCAATCCTGGGCCCCAAAGACGTGTTGGTGGAAAAAGCAGGTGTGTGAACAAATGAGAGCTCCCGAGAGGGCACGTAGGATGGGACAGAAACTGCAGGGGGCAGTGCAGCCCAAAGGAGACGGAGCCTTTAGCCTTCCAGGGCGGCCGGCACAAAGGTCAAGAGCAGACTCGGGTGTGGGGGGCCTGCGCTCAGATCCCAGCTCAGCCTCCCTCTAGCTGTGTGACCTTGGGCCAGCCACTTAACCTCTCTGTGCCTCTGTCTCCTCGTCTGTAAAGTGGGAGTAATAAGAGTACTAATCTCAGAGAGGGATTTGGTGATGAAGTTAATTTATGCAAAGTCCTGAAACCCGTAGATGGTCCACATTAAGTTCCCAGTATGTGTTGGCTGCTATTACCCCCTGGGGATGAGAGAAGCCAGGGAGACTCCTTAGAGTTGGCACACTCCCTAGATCAGCGGTTCTCAACCTGTGGGTCGCGACCCCTTTGGCCGTTGAACGACCCTTTCACAGGGGTCGCCTAAGGCCATCCTGCATATCAGATATTTACATGACGATTCATAATAGTAGCAACATTACAGTTATGAAGTAGCAACGAAAATAATTTTATGGTTGGGTCACAACATGAGGAACTGTATTTAAAGGGCCAGAAGGTTGAGAACCACTGCCTTAGGTGAACCCCCTTATGCTTTGGAATTTGGGCCAGAGCCACAGCCTTGGTCAACAATATACTCCTCTGGGCTTGGAGCCCTGAACAGCATTAAGTATCTCAAATCCCCAGAGCGGGTTTTCTGGAGCCTGAGGGGCAGGGGGGGAGGGAGGGAGAGGAAGGGTGGGCTGGTAAGCGATGCCCTCTCTCTAAAGTGAGGCGTTTGGCTGAAAAGCTCACACAAGGGCCCTTTCCTGCAGGTGCTGAATCCTCGGCACCCGTGCGAGGCCACGGCAGCCCAGACAGCAGCGCCATCTCCAGCCCCCTCCTCCGAGCCTGGCTGGCCGTGCGAGGCACCAAGACGAGATGAGAGGAACGTGGAGCCCAGACCAAGGTGGAGCAGCCATGCAGATGGGGAGGCCATTAGCAGCCCCAGACCAAGCTGTTTTCCGAGCTGGCTCCCTCTCTATTGCAAGCAGCAGCGGAGCGCGGCTGTATTAAACATGCACGGCCATCACCTCGTTACTGTGCCCGAGGATCGTGTGTGCTGAAGGCGAGCTGCCCACACAAACTTTGCCATTTCCCTGGCTGCAGACCAGGCGCGTGCTCCCGCTGGCCCCGCTGGGAAGCCTCCCTCCCCACCCACTCCTCCATCCGCCTCCCCCACCCAGCACTTTCCGACACCCTCCATGGTGTGCAAAGCAGGCGAAAGGCCATACTGATCCCTTTCTAAGAGTAGCGGACCCAGAACTAGCCTTAAATCACCCCAACCTCGAGCTGCAGCCTGGTGGCCACCTGGCGACAGGGGCGGCAGGGCAGAGCTGAGGTGCAGGGCCTGGGCAGGACAGCACCGTGGCTGGTGAGGGTCAGAATCGGACGAGATGTGGGCAGGGCCCGGCCCAGGCCCCTCTGCTTCCCTTGGTCCATCTGTCTCCCGTGCCGAGGCAGCTGTCAGCAGGAGGAAGCATTCCTGGCAGTGAAGGGAGAGGATGGCGGACCCACGCCCACCAGCGCGGACTCGCAGGAAGCAGCGTGATTTTCCACTTAAGCCACATAATGTGGCAACGAGGATTTCAGTTCGGCAAACAAGTACAGTGATAACTAGTGTTCATCCGACACTTGCTTTGTGTCAGGCACTGTGTGAAACAGTCCCTTTACATAAACACTCTCACGCACTCCTTAGGTAGCTCTACACCATCACCCCATTTTACAGATGAAGTGACTGAGGCCCAGGAAGGCTCGGTGCCTTGTCCAAGGGCTGACAGATTGGCAGGGCAGAGCCAGGGTCCCATCTGAAGCAGGTGCTGGCAAACCACAACCCTCGATGGAGGGATGCCCAGCAGACCCGAGTGGGGCACAGCTAGGACAGGGAGGGGTGCCTCCCACTTCTACCCCCTCCAAAAAGCCTGTGGCCCTGGGAGGGGCCGAGTGGCACCCAGCTTTCCCCAGACCCTCAGGCCCTGCTGCCCATACCCCTCCCCAACAATCCACAGCCAACTTCTCTGCCCCCTCAGGCCTGGGGCTTCCTGGTCCGATGGACCCTTCCTGGGAAGATCCTTCCAGAAATACCTCTCAGTTCCCATTCTGCCTCCGGCCTCCAGGATGGCTGTGCCCACACTGGCCATCCCCTCAGCACAGCTGGGTCCCGGGCACCAGAGCGAGAACAGGCACCTCCACTGGCAGCAAGAGCCACAACTCAGGATGCAGATCATGGCCCAGTGTAGTCAGGACCCTTCCCTTCACGGCAGCCCTGGGCAGGGCCCAGCAGGGATTGTGGGTCCCCCCTGCTTCCTGACAAACCGATCCCTGAGACACAGATAGGAGCTGAGAGCCGTGCCAGCGTGGTCAGAGGGTCAGCAAGGGTGTGCCCAGCTGATGGCCCCGTGGGCAGGGGCCACGAGCCACGAGGAAAGGCCAGTACCTGAGTCTGCAAGCTGGTGGCGTCCAGGACCGTGACCCGAGGCCCACAGCTGGCCCACACGGCGTCCTCCAGGCTCAGCAGCGTGCGGATGGGCCCTGGCCCCACTGTCAGGCGCACGGGAGGGCTCTCCAGGTCCCAGGGCACATCTCCTGGGAGGAGAAGAAGACGCAGGTCAAGGCTCAGGGCTCCTCAGTCCGGGGAACCACAGCCTGCAGCGGGGGCCCAGCCTGGCTCCACAAACCCTCTCACCCGGTTCTGTGGGGGATGGTGGCTGTTCCCATTGGCCTGCATTTATGACCCTTCCCATGGGGGCCGGACTCCTCTTCCTCAACCTCCTGTTCATTCAGCCTTCTCGCTGATCTGCTCGGCTACCATAAGGCACTCTACCACCTTTACCAAATCTCTGATGACCTTTCTCCTCCAGAGATGCCACAGCCCCAGGTGTGGAAGGAGGAAGTCCCGAGAAGAAATCAGTGCCCAGTCCACCACCCTGCAGATGGAACTAACCAAGGGAGCTGGCCTGGCCCTGAACAAGGCTCTCCCTGCCCACCCAGGATGCTCGCTCACCCAAGAACGGGCCAAGAATTTCCCTGGCACACAAGCCCTGCTGGCTATGATGGGTTTTTCCCTTAAGTCACACAGAACCCCAGTGGCTGTCCTGTCTTGTCAGGATGCCAGGTGGGAAAGAGGGGAGGAAGGGGGCATACCCCGGAAAGACAGACAGCAGTAGCTGGGCCTGGGGGGGCAGGATGGAGCCTGCTGCTAGCTTGCCAGTGCCCAGCCACGCCACACTCCCTCCACGGGACCCTGAAAGCAGCCCCATCATAGACCCTTCCTCCGAGCCAGCTGCTGGTGACAGGATGGGGCACAGCTGTCGGTAGAGCTGGAGGGACCACCAGGGTACATGGTGAGAGCCACTGCCTGCAGTGTGGCAGGAAGAGGACAGACTATCACACCCCAGGCTTTATACCACCTGTAAAGCAGGTTTGCCTCTCTCCCTTCTGTCCTACTTAAACCTGTCAGACTCCCAGCTCACCTGCGAGCCGGGGAATAGGGAGCCCTCCCCACCCAACACACTACCAGGTCTTTCCAGCCCATGTGTATGAGCACATGGGAAGCAAGTAGGGCCAGAATCCTGACTGTGGCCTCTGAACTTCTGCATGAACTAAGACAGGTGACTTCACCTCTCTGAGCCTCAGTTTCCTCATCTGTAAAATGGGCATGATGACCAGGCCTACACCTCGCTGATACTACAGGACTAAATAGAACGTGCAGAGCATTTAGCTCAGGGTTGGCACACAGCAAGGAGCGACGACAGCTGTTGATCCATGCCGTTACATATCCGCACGCCAGGCACTGTTTTCACGAATTGTTTTCCTAACTCCCAGCCTGTGCATTCTATTTCCATCCCTGTTTTACAACTGAGGAGGCGGAGACACGGAGTTTAAATAGCCAGCCCGAATCACACAGCTCGAGAGTACAGGGCGCTCATTAGCCCATACTGTTTGGTGTCATTTGCCACAACATAACAGTCTGTGGAAACAGGTGTTGACTCCATTTGACTAATGTGACAATGGAGGCCAGGGAGCTGAGAACTTGCCCGAAGCCACCCAAGGGGTGACAGGCCAAGCAGGGCTGAAACTCAGCTGACCTTGACCCCTCCCCTGCCCCCACCCGCTGCCCTCTCAGGTTCCAAGAGCTTCCACAGGGCACTGGGGCCGTACCTGGGGTCAAGGAGGAGTGAGTGACCACAGGCAGCCGGGCACACTGAGCCCCACCAGAACACCAGAGCCACAAAATGCTAGGCTTTGAGCGCCCCCCAGTGGCCATGGGTAAGTAGTGCTTATAGTATAGCCAGAAGCTGGAGTTCCCTCCACTGCGACCTCCTTCCCAGTAAGCAGTTGAGAATACTGGGACCACACCCTGAAAACTAGGAAATGGGGCTCTGCTCAGTGGGCACCAAAACCCTTGCAACCTCTACCCTGCAAGGAACAGCGTGGCCGGGGCTGCCTGAGGTCGGAGCCAGGTTCTGCTACCCCTGAGGGTCACAGGGGCTCTGACCATACTGCCACTTGCTGGGCTTCTGCAGGAACCATATCAAAAGGACCCTGGACAGGAGTCCCCACAGTGGGACCCTGAGCCAGAGGCCGCCCCTTGCTTGGACTCAGCTCTCCCATCTGCACCCGAGGGACAGAACTCTGACCTATCTGGTTCTTCCCAGCCCTCATGGCCACAGTTCTAAGACTTTAAATGCAATCATTGTGAGCTCTGTGCAGGGCAAGCTCCCTGCAGCCTGCAGCCAGGGGGGGAGGAGGGGGCCCACCTTCAATCCCTTCCTTGCCCTCCAGGCTTTAGGTGCATACATACATGTTACAGAACCCACATGTGCACTCATACACACACGCACACACCCACCCCCTGCGTGACCGCCCATTCGTCTGGGCCCCTCACCAGCTCTCATGCTGCCAGGCGAAGGGGGATGAAGGCCCTTGGAGGTCCCGATCCAGCTGGAGCTGAAGGCAGGACACTGGGTAAAAGTCATTGAGACTGAGAGGGGCCCCAAGGGTCGCCCGCGCCTGGTCAGTAATAAGGGCGGTGACAACCATTCAGATGGGGGTAACAAGCACCAGGCTACTTGTGTGGCTGATCCCACCTGGCCTCCACAGCCAGCCTGTGCGGGGGGCAGTCTTCTTCCCCATTTTACAGGTGAGGAAACTAAGGCTCCAAGAGGCGAAGTAACAGGGACAAAGTCACAGCTGGGTCTCAACCCCAGGCAGCCTAACTCCCCAGCCCGTCCCCGCGCCCCTCCTGCAGGAGGTGACCCGGCCCACAGCCCCAGCATCTAACCAGGGACTTTCCCACACCTGCCCCCAGGCCTGGGCCTGCTCAGAGATGAGGCAGACAGAAGGGATCCGGGTAGCTCTACTCAAACACGGGACCGGCCAGGGACAGTGGCCATCTGGCTCCTCTCTGAGTCCTGGGTCCTGCTCAGTGCCTGGCACCTCAGAGCACGGAATACATATTTCCTGAGTGAATAAATGAACAGGTGAATGAATGACTTCCATGGCCACACTGCTCTGGACCTCGGTTTCGCCAGTCAGTGACCTGGTGGCCTTGGGTTCCTCAGTCCCTTCTCAGCTGCTGGCCCCACAGGTCCTCCAGGACTCGGCCAAATCCCACATTTCTGCTCCTGCCCTCTTGCAAGGAGTCAAAGCGTGGGCCAGGAATGCCAGTTTTATCCAGTCGTGGTCTCAGCCAAACCCGGGCAGGACAGTAACTTCTCATCCTATACCAACTCCAAGCCCTGGATAAGGGTCTGGAACTTTCACAGCCCTTGACCCTCCCGGCCACCAGGGGGCGCCAGCGGTGGGTTCTGCAGGCACGGGGCTCCAGGTCTGTGCTCCGGCTTGGGCTGGGATGGAGTCGGGGTGTCTGAGGGGTATCCAAGGCCCTGGTGAGTCTGGAGGAGGTCCCACAGCTCAGTCATGGATAAGCCGGATGGTCCCAGTCCCAGCCACAGGCAGCCCAGGTGAGAGGCGACATGGAAGTGTAAGCTCCCTGCTTGTTCACCGAACTAATTCTCTCTCCCTCTGCAAACCCTGCGAGGGCAGGGTCACACCTGCCTTGCTGGCCGCTGTACCCATGGTGCATAGTCGGTGCTCAGTAAATATCTGGTGCACAAATGTTTGCAAGGGGGAAAGGTATCTCAGCCTTCTCCTCCAGGCCAGCCGCTGCCAGCTCTGCTAGGAGAAGCCAAGGCCCCCTGAGTCTGGAGAGGGCTCGAGGCCTGGACGGAAGACATTAGGGTTCAGGTCTCAGCTCACCCCTGAGACTCTGGGAAGTGGCGGGGGCGGGGGTTCAATGGTGCCCAATGGCCCTTCTGGCTCTGACAAATGGCCAGTCCCAGCCCCAGGCCGAAGGCCAGTGGTTAGAGCCCAAACCCCCACTGGGTTGAATTGTGTCCCCAAAAATTCATGGGGAGTTCTAACTCCCAGGACCTCAGCCTGTGACCTTATTTGGAGATGGGGCTGTTTGCAGATATAATTAGTTAAAATGAGGTCACCCTGGAAGAGGGGGGGGCCCTGATCCAAGGTGACGGGTGTTATTATAAAAGCGAAACATGGATACAGACACGCACTCAGGAGAACATTGTGTGAAGAAGGGAGGCAAGCTGCCGCGGCCAGGGACCACCGAGCTGGGGTCCGAGCTGGGGTCAGGCCGGGACAGCTCCTTCTTCAGCATCTTCCTAGGCAGCGCGGCCCTGACAGCACCCTGAGCCTGGACTTCTCAACTCCAGAACCATGAGTCAGTGAATTTACAGTGTTTAAACCCCTCAGTTTATGGGGTCTATGAGCAAACTCACACACCACCCCCTTCCCTCCTCCCAACCGGGGCGCCCAAACTGATGAGTCAGGAACCAGGAAGGGAAGAGCCAAAGGCGGCCCAAACTGGGGCCAGGAGGCCAGAGTGGGACCAGCGTGGCTCACAGTATTCGGTGGGGCTGCAGGGTGGAGTCCCTCCAGAACCCCTAGTCTACTCCCTGAAGATCTGTGCCCATATTTGCATTCACAGGCACGCTCCGATGGTACGAAGAATTTTTTCCCTCCCTCTTCCCCCTTTAATTAAAAACTATAAATGCCTTATCAAAAGCTAATTAAAAATACCAACACAGTGCCAAGTGGCAAAAAAAAAAAAAAAAAAAAAAGCTCAGTACAAATATCCGTTTATAACCCTGCAACAGGCTGTGATGACGCAGCAATTACAGGCTCCTGGGAGGGAGTGGGAGGAAGGGCTGGGCAGCCACAGGACTCATCAGCCCTCTGGGGAGCACCGGGGACAGCTACCCTCTCCCCACCCCACACCCCCGGCTCTTGTCATCATCCAACTAGGAGCTGAACAAGCCACAGGGGACCGGGGACCCCAGCACCATGTGGCTGTGCTCCAGCGCATCGCGCCTCCCCCCCCCCCCCCCCCCCCCCCCCCAGTCTCAGCACTGGGTCTGTACAGAGGAGGCAATTCTCAAGGGCTGTGGAGACAATTAAGATAATGGCCAACATCAAGCACTTCACCGTGTTTCTGGAACACAGCCGCTCACACCGTGAGCCCTGCCCTCCAGCGTCAGAATCGGGGCCGTCCACGGCTCAATGAAATCAGAGACTCAAACGCTGGCCTCCACTGGCATCCCTGGGCCAGGCCCTGCACTTTGCTTTGCCTTCAGGGGGTTGTTTGACCTGCCAGGACCCGTAAATGGTGGGTTTTGCCATTATTGCCATTTTAGAGACGAGGAGACAGGCGGGAGGAGGAGAAGCTGCTCACCGATGGACACAGCTGGCATCAGGGCAGAGCCTGGCCCGGAAGCCAGGTCTGTGCAAGCCCAGAGTCCCTGCTCTTAGCCACTAGAGACTCCCTCCAATGGGCGGAGCTACTTGTGCAGGAGTGAGCACCCCATTCCTGTGGGGACCCCGATGGGGATCAAGGATCTCTGATCCCCCCACCTCTGAGATGGCCTGGTTCGTTGCTGAGCCACCACCTTGGCCTGCCTCCCACAACCGTCTGGCACAGGGTCCCCAATGGTTCCCAGCCCCACGTCCTCACCGCTGGTCCGAGGGTAGGCGGCGAGGGTCCCGTCCTGCAGGCCGGCAAACAGGTGGAAGGGGCTGTGTCGCAGGCAGAGCACAGGCTGCAGGCCTGGGCTCCTGCAGGTCGCCAGGCACTGGGTGCCCGTGTCCACGCTGCTGTAGACCAGGATGCTGCGGGGAGAGGCCCAGGTGACTCACTCAGCCCCCCATATGCCCTCCAGGGCCCCCTCTGTGGGACCAGGCCTTCGTTCCACCAAAGGGGAGCTCAGATTTTCCACGGGTGGCCTTTTAGGATGGGGTCCTCCCCGGCCTCTGTCTTGTGGAAGACTCGGGGGCTAAGGGGGCGAGGGGGCTCCAGAAGCAGCACAATAAAGGTGCTGATCCCTGGTCGTTTTTGCTCAGTGGTTAGAACATCGGCCCTCGGACCAAAGGGTCTGGGTTTGATTCCCAGTCAAGGGCGTGTACCTGGGTTGCAGGTCTGATCCTGGCCCAGGTCAGGGTGTATGTAGGAGGCAACTGATCGATGTGTCTCTCTCACATCCATGTTTCTCTCACTCGCTCCCTCCTCCCTTCCTTCCACTCTCTCTAAAAATCAATGGGGAAAAAAGTATACTCATGTGAGGATTAACAAGGTGCTGACCTGAGTTTTCAGGGTCACAGACCTGAGTGTGAATCCAGCCAAGCCACCTCTACCTGATGGACCCCAAAACAGCCTCCAGGCACCACGCAGTCCTGCCCTCCTCCCCAGGCCCCTCACCTGCCATCCTGGAGCCCCAGGCAGATGGTCGGATGCACGGCAGCCGAGGGGTCAGCAGCCGTGTGGCCCTCATCTTTGTCTCCATCTCCATTCTCCCCCTCCTCCGGCTCAGGAATGTACTCCATGCAGAGCACGGGGGCCGCCAGCGGGAAGGACTTGACCGTGCGGGGTGAGGGCCGGTTCAGGGAAAAGATCTCGACCTGGCCTCCTGCGCCCTCCTGGCCTCCCCCAACCTGGGGCAGAGACCAAAGAAGCTGTCAGGGAGAATGGTGAGAGCAGAGGCGGAGCTTCGCTCTGCCCTCCCGGAGACCTGTCCCAAACTTTGGCTTGCCGCTGATAACTGAGAGGAGAGGCCCCTCCTCCGCCTGCAGCCTGCTGTCACCGGAGGTCACTCGTCCCCAGCCTCCAAGGCAGCGAGTTCGATTCAGGGCGCAAAGGAAACCCACTAAGGAGCTAAGGTGGACTAGTTGCCCAGTCAGCTTTCCATCTCCTTGTTTTTAGGCTAAATTTCAACCAACAAAGAGTGAACATACACTCTGCCCCTTTAAAATGTCCTATCTTCCTGTTCTCTGTTTTACTTTAGTGTCTAGCACAGCCGTGGGCAAACTACGGCCCGCGGGCCAGATCCGGCCCGTTTGAAATGAATAAAACTAAAAAAAAAAAAAAAAGACCGTACCCTTTTATTTAATGATGTTTACTTTGAATTTATATTAGTTCACACAAACACTCCATCCATGCTTTTGTTCCGGCCCTCCGGTCCAGTTTAAGAACCCATTGTGGCCCTCGAGTCCAAGAGTTTGCCCACCCCTGGTCTAGCACATGGTATACCAGTATACTTGCTGAGTGGATGGAGGGATAGATGAATGGATGGATGGATGGATGGATACATGGATGGAAGGATGGATGAATAGATGGAAGGATGGATGGATGAATGGATAATGGATGGATGGACACATGAATGGATGAATGGATAATGGGTGGATGGATAGGTGGAGACATGGATGGATGGATGGATGGATGGATGGATGGATGGATGGATGGATGGATGAATGGAGACATGGATGAATGGGTGGATGGGTAGGTGGATGGATGGATGGATGGATGGATGGATACATGGAAACATGGAAACATGGATGGATGGATGGATGGATGGATGGATGGATGGATGGATACATGGAAACATGGATGGATGGATGGATGGATGGATGGATGGATGGATGGATGGATACATGGAAACATGGATGGATGGATACATGGAAACATGGATGGATGGATGGATACATGGAAACATGGATGGATGGATGGATGGATGGATGGATGGATGGATGGATACATGGAAACATGGATGGATGGATGGATGGATGGATGGATGGATGGATGGATGGATGGAAATACCACGTGCTAGAGAAACAGTGAAGAACAAATTGCCCTCAGAAGAGTGTCTATGGGAGGCACAATCTGCACTATAAGAAGCATGGGGAGGTCACCTATTTGAATCCATGGGAGCTTTGCCAGGAGTCCCGAGAGCAGAAAACTGGGCCGGGATCTCTGAGAGATGGGCAGTAAGCAGCCCTGCTTCCTGACCCCGGTGAAGACCTGTCACCCAGGCACACGGCACCGCTCCCGCTCATTTCCTGCATGGCCTGTGGCCTGTGCAAGAGTCATGCTCACTGATTTGTCCCTAGTTTTCTGTTGTCCCTGGTGAGGTGGCTGGCACCTGCCAACTCCAAGCCCAGAGCCTGGGACAGGGTCCCATTAGAACTTGCCGGGTAAAGTGTACAAAATGGGCCAGCAGGCAGGTGGCTTTCTCCCGCACCCCTCCCAGGGGCTCCTCTCCCTGTTCCTGTCCTGAGGCCAGAGCTCCTGGCTGTGGACAGGGGGTACTCACCCAGAGGTAGCCCTGTGGAAGGGAAGTGCTGACCGCCGAGAAGCCCAGCAGGGGAGAGCTGACAGGACTGTGGACCAGAGCCCCAAGCTGCGGAGACAGAGGTGACACGTGCAGGGTTAAGTGTCGAGGTGCCTGAGAGGCCAGCGTCTGGCTATCGAACCTTCCGTGTGAACCACCTGCAGGGGTCAGGGGTCGTTAAACCTGCAGATTCCCAGTGAGGATCCCTGAGGACGGGCCAGGAGAGGGGGAGGTTTCCAGGATCTCCGGGAAGTTCCTATGCACCCACATTTGACCATCAGTCCCCTAGAACTCTGGCTGGAAGGGGCCTGGATGATACTCTGGGACCCCAAGGACTTTTCCAACTGACCAGCTCCCATTTAAGCTTCGTTGAACACCACTAACCCCCACCCCACTCCCTTTACTTTACAGATGGGGACAATGCGGTCTGCAGAGGACACAGGATGGCCCTAGGCCACAGGGAAGGTGAGGGGCAGGGCCTGAACTGTGCCACCTCCCCCTCCGCCTTCCTGCACGCCTCCAGAGAAACAGCTCAGGGACCCCCAGATCATCAGAACCAATCTGCAGGCGAGCCCCCAGGACACAGGGCTGGGTAGCTTGTGTGGACTGCCGGCAGAGGCCGGTGGCTCTGTCTGTGACGGGCTGTCACCAAGAGCCACCAGCGACTTGTTTCTCCTGCAACTTCTTCCCCCAAATCCATGCCAGGTGGGTCTCTGGGGCCTGTTTCCTGAGCTAGATCCTGCCGGTCTGGCCCTCTGGCCAGGACGGCAATGGAAGGAGGTGGCCTGGCCCTTTCAAGGGCTTGGCTTTGCCCCTCTGAGGAATGCGGCGGCGGCTGGACCCTTTGCCGGGCAGGTGCTGCCCTCTGCTGGTGCTGAAGGCCCTGGCCAGCACCAGCCCTGCTGGAACATTCTAACAAAATACCTAATGGCCATAGGTGAGGGGACCAAAGAGGTCACCCCCTCCAGCCCCTCATTTAGGAGTCAGTAACCGTGAAGTTCGGGGAAGGGGAAGGGGGAGGGGGACATGACTGGCTCCAGGTCACAGAGCAGGTCAGTGGGAGCGTCAGGGCTGGAATTCAGTTTTGCTCCGGTGCAGGGCCCCTCTTGGTTGAGTTCTACCCAGAGGCCAAGCCGGAGGCCTCGATACGCTCACACTCATAGCCCAGCCTCTCCTCCTGACTCCTGGGCTGCAGCCGTGCTGCCTTGCCTGGGGCGCCTGGGGTGGGCCTCTGTGCTGCTCTGGCTATTTGGAATATTCTTCTCCTGGGCCCTCACCAGGTTGCAACCTTCTTGCCATCCGGGTCACAGTTTAATGCCACCTCCTCCGAGAGGCCCTCTCTGTTGGCACCATCTCTGTATCTATTAGATCTGATTTATTTTCTTTCACACACACATCTCTCCTATTTCCCTTTGTTTGCCAGGGCTTTTCCTCTCTCTCTCTAGATTGAACGCTATATGAGGGTATGTTGCATGTTTTGATCACCGCTATGATTCCCAGTGGCTAGGACAGGGCCCAGCACACAGTAGGTCCTCAAAAATGATAGGCAGCTTGGACGAATGAATGGATGGATGGATGGATGAAGGAATGAATGAATAAACTGGCATCTCACGGCTATGTTCTTTCAGCTACTTAGCACCCCAATCTGCAGTCCTAGCCACTTAGCTCCTGGGACTTATTTACCTGGGCCCGGGTCCAAGCTTGAGCTCCCCTCCCCAGAGCTCAGATGACCTCATCTCCCTGAGAGGACGATGGGCAGCAGTTGCTCCAGAAAAAGGACAGGTGACCAGAGGAGGTGAAGACCACAGGTGTCGGAACCAGATAGAACGAGGTTCTCATTCCTGGACCCATCCTTATCGGCTGTGTCAATTTTAGAAAGCCATCTGTCTGAGCCCCAGGTGGGCCTTCCCTGTGAAATAGATCTAGAAGCACCTACTTATCGGGGTCTCAAAAACAGTAAAACAAGAGAGTGACGGACGAGCAGTGACGGGGGAGCACAGTAGGTGCTTGACGAATGGAAGGCGTGATGGCTATGAATGGTGTGTTGTCGTCCCCTCAGGCCCCGCCCACACCAAAGCCCCGGCTCCTGCCTGGCTCCAGCCCACAAGGGACCAATCCACAAAGCCTGGCACAGCCGCGCGGGCATATTCCGGCCTATCTTCTGGGCTGGAGTCAGGCCATCGACGGATGAGATCACTGCTATTTGTTAGCTCAAAATAATGGAATTTTCCGTTCACTTGACCCACGGAGGGCATCTACCCCCACATTGTGGGTAGGACAGCTGACGCCCAGAGCAGTAAAAAGGCTCAACCAACTCCATCGGGAAAAAGCTGAGGCGCTGGGTCTGGAGCCGGGGCCTCTCCTGCTGTGGGCACAGCCTGGAAACGCTGGTTCCCCCAGGAGAAGGTGAGCCAGAGCTGCCCCTCTCACCTGCAGGCTGAGGCCCCGCGAGGAGAAGGCGGGGATGCAGCAGGCCAGCGTTGGGCACCAGAACGGGGCTTTGCTCTTCTTGTCCTCGTCCGGACATCGCCAGCCTGGCTGGTTCTCCTCTCCTACAGCAAAAGGAAGGAGGTGGGCGAAGCAGGTCAGAGTGTGAGAACCAAGCAGGCTGTGAGCAGTCCTGGAGCCCAGGGAGCCCCCGCAGGCCCCAGAGGTCCGGCCTGCACGGCGGCCTAGGCAGACCCCGCCACTCGCTCACCCCCCTGACTCCCAGCCCCACTCCTGCCCATCTGAGATGAAATCTGGCCCCACTCTGTGGTCATGGCCGTGGGTCCCCAGCAAGGAGCCCAGACACCTAAGGTTTGAGTCCCCCACTTGACCGGCCTCTTGCTTAGCAACCTTGTGCAAATCACCCCAACTCCCTGAGCCTCGATTTCTCCACCTATACAACAGGGACGATGAAAATGCCTTCGTCCTGCGGCTGTTGTGAGCATCCAGTGAAATAAAACATGGAAAGGGGTTCAGGAAGTGCTAAGATGCTGGACTCAGTCCAGGCCCAGCTGCCTAGCCCTTAGCTTCAGAGAGGGGAGAGGATCCGAGACCAGCAAGCAGACAAGATGATTTCTGATTGTGATGACGATGTAAGTTCAGCTGCGTGTACACCTGACGGTGATGACGGTGGTGCTGGGGAAGACTCTTACTCTGCCTGCCTTCAAAGCTACCCTGAAACCGCCAGGTCCCCCAGGCAAGCTGGGCATAGAAGCCCCCGGGACCTGTTACAAGTACAGACACCCAAACCCAAGCCCAGACCCTTGACTCACATTTGGAGACCTCTGCGCTCAAGATCATCCATTGTACCAGTGGTTCCTTCACATGGTTCAGGGCTCCCTCACATGCCGCCGCCTCCAAGAAGTCCTCCATGACCACCCTGGCTACTGTGGCTTCCTTCTCTCAGGGGGAAAGCCCCTGACTCTAAAGACCCTATCAGACTTCTCGTATAGCCTTCACCACAATCTCAAATCACCGTGTCTACTTTCTTGTTTATAATCCGTCTCCCCTCCCTTCCCTGTGGCCTAGGGCCATCCTGTGTCCTCTGCAGACCTCATTGTCGCCCTTCCCATGTCTCTAGAATGTAAGTTCAGGGCAGCCAGATCCAGGGTATATCCTTCGTCACTGTCTCCCTGTAACTCAGCACACTGCCTGCACAATTAGTGCTCAGCAAACATGGGTTGAAAGAATGAATGAAAGGAGTGAGCAAGTGAGTGGGTGAGCAAACCTCCATTTCTTCCAAAGAGTCCTCCCTGCTAAGGACCCCATCCTTACGCTCCACATGGCGACACTCCATATGACGACTGCCTTCCCGGGACCTGGACAGCAGGGGCACGGTACGGCTAGGACACCCTACTGTGTGTCCACGCATCAGGCACACACTGAGTGCCATGCGCGTGTCCCCTGGCCTTGTTTTCACACGGACCGAGCACAGTCAGATAATGATTTTCACTTCACGGATGGTGAGACAGGCACTCGGGGGTTATGCTGACCAGGTCACAGGCATGCCTACATGGCCGAGCCCAGATGGGGACCAAGGACTGTCTGATCCAAAGCCCAGGTTCTTTGCACTAAACCAGGCATTCTTCTAGCATCTAGCCTCCTACTGACAGCCATGAGCATTACTGACCCTTGACATGGTGACGCTGGACAATGAGGAGGAGGCACAGCCTTCCCCCTGCCCCACCTCCACCCCCACCCCCGGCACAGAGCAAGCCCTGGAGAAGTGCCGTGCCGTCGGGGAGGGGAAACGGGACATCAGTGAAGGGCACGGCGTCTGGGTTACACAAGCTAAGTCCCAGGTCGTCTGTGCAGCATGGCGCCTACAGCTAGCAACTCCGTATGATGTGCTTAAAGATGTGCTCAGAGGATCTTACACGAATTGTTCTTATCACAAAGAATAACAGCTAAGCGGGCAGGAGGGGGTTTGGGGATGGATTTGTTATGTGGCATAGACTGTGGGATGGGCTCACGGGCACATACTAATCTCCAAACTCATCAAGTCGTGTGCATCCGACACGCACAGCCTGTTGTACGTCAATCATGCCTCACGAAGTGGCTTTTGAGAGAATGCCACTGCCCCAGAGGAAGGCGGCGCCTGAGTGTCGGTCACGGCGAGAGCTGGGACACGGTGGCAGGTGCGGATGTTCCTGCAGACGTCAGAGACGCTTGCAAATGTCAGGCACGATCAGCGCCTGCCCCACCCGCTCTCCCGCCCGGCGCACCCACTCCCTCAAGCAGCAGAGGCGGTGAGCTCACTCCCTACACGGCCCTCTGCCCTACTGGGCCCCGGAGACAACGCCCCATCAAACCTGGTTCCTTCCACGGAGGAGGCGGGGCTGCCAAGGAAGAGACAACTAGGGCACAGGGCGGGCATCAGCATAGCAGGACTGCGTGCACCACACTTCACGCTGTCTCCTTTCATCCTCCTGGCCACCAGGAGCGTCAGTGTTTCCATCCCCATTCTACCCTGAGCAACAGAGGCCGGGGAAGGCAAAGGCAGGGCCCAGAGCCCGGGAACGAAGCCAGGGGGCCCTTCACACAGCGCCCACCACGTGGGGTGTTCGCCGAGACAGCCCACCCGCTGGGGGCAGCACCCACTTTCTTGGCGGGAATGAAGACGGCGAGATCTGAGCGTGCCCCTACTCTCAAGGAGCTTACAGTCACGCAGACCCTCCCCTCGGCCAGACGGGAGCCCCGCAGCACCCCCAAGCCCCACTCCTCGCGGGAGGCTTCCCAGAGCTCAGTCCTGGAACATAACTCGCCCCAATCACGCATCCCCCTGAGCTCCACTCCCCTCCCCTCCCCCCGGCACAGCCCATCGAGGCAATTGGTTAGTGTATATATTTCTTAATGATCTGACCTTCTCCTTCCAGATGGTGCCGCCCCGGCCCGCGCCTGGGAGCGTTAAAGGAAAATGGAGTTGCCGCTTCCCATCTGCCGCTGCCATTGTCCCTGTCACAAAACCGGCGCGGCTGAGGCCGAATTAGAAGCTGTTGCTGCTGAAAATGGAAGGCCCACCTGGGATAAGTGACATGAAGGACTGGCACCGACGTCAAAGCTGCGATTTCCAAGTGACGTTAAGTGGGGGACTTGTTTGGCGCCCAGCTCTGCAGCGCCCACAGCACCGAAGAGCGCCCATGGGCAGCCGGAGCAGCTCAGGGCTGGGGGCCGTGCCCCTGCCGCCCCCCCCCCCCCAATCTGCGAGCCCGCAGAACAGCCCCACAGGCTGCGGGAGGCTGGCTCTCCTGGCAGATCCCGACTCAGCCTCACTCAGCGCCACGCTGAGCCGGACACTTAGCCCTCAGAGGCTGTTGTCTCATCTGGAAAATGGGGGAATCATTCCAACCGTCTGCAGCTGCTGTGAGCACTGGGAGGAATGGATATAACGCCTGGCGTACCCCAGGCACCCAGGAAAGAGTGCCCATTCTGGCCATCGTCCTTGAGGTGGAGAGTATTGCCTAGTCCTGCGCTTAAGGGCCCGGCCCACGGCTCCCCCACAGCACCACCGACTGCCTGGCAAACCCTGCTCAGACCCAGCGCCGTGCCTCCGTCACCGCCCCGCAAACAGCCGACTGCCTTCCCTCCCTCCCTCTCACAGCTCCCGGCACAGACGGGGGGCTGGCAGGACATCACCACGCGTCCTCCCCAAACACCCCTCCCCTGGGATCCAGGCGAGCGGCCACGGTCACCCAGCTGGGTAACACCCAAGTCATGCCCACAGCCACCTCGGCCCCCTCCTGGAGGGCAGACCCACTTCCAGTGAGGGCTCGGCCAGCTCCCCACCTCAGGTTGAGGGTTAAAGGACACGAGGGTTACAGCACTCCTGGCACATACCTGGGCTGTGCTCAGACCTCCACAATGGACCCATCGCAAGGGGGAGCAGTGGTGTTACTGGGAGGGCTGAGGGCTGGAATGCCAACCGAGGCAGAGGCAGCGAGGGAGGGGCCCCGGGCCAAGCCTGTGACATATGCCCCATGAGATATGCCCCCGTGCAGTCAGGGTGAGAGGAAGATACTGGGGGGGGGGGGGGGGGGGGAGACTTTAAAGGAATAACATCCTTTGTGAATAAATTTGTTAAACATATTTTAATGGGCTCATGTTATTTTCCCCTCCCCACCAGGCACTGCAGATAAAAAAACAAACTGGGAAAATAAAATGCACAAATTATTCAAGCCCCAGGGGAACCCAGGCACTCAAATAAGATTTGAAATGACTCTCGTTCTATTAAAACTTTTTGCTGCAGTGAAACTGCGCAGTCAGGGTGGCTGGGCTGCTTCAGTCAGCTCCTCCCCGCCAACGCCAAGCCCCGCCCTGCAAAGCATCTGGGGTTCCAACAGATTCACCTGCTCTAGAGCAGGTGCAGGAACAGGGCGGGCGTAGGCATCTGCCCAAGACACAACTGCAGCACCAGCGGGGGTGTGGCCTGAGCGGGCAGGGGCAGGGCCAGCTTAGCCTTTCCTTGGGCCAGAATTCCCACAGTCCTCCGCCAGGGCCAGGAACAGCCTCTGCTTACAATCCTTCCTCCACCCTCCTGGTCACGAAGACACACCCAACAGAGGCCTGTGCACTATCAGCACCAGGTTCTAGAAGGGACTGGTGAGCAGATGCCTCTGATCCTGGCTCCTCCTCCAAAGCCACAGCCTCCTCCCATGCCCTCCCGACCTCCACGTGCCCTCTGCACAGCGCCAGAATGATTCGCTTAAATAGAACCCGGGCCATGCCACTGTCCGGCTCTCAGTGCTACAACAAATACTCCCCATCAAGTTCCATACACCTTGCCCTGGCTTTCTGGAAAACCTGCCCAGCCTCCACCTGCCCAATTCCCCAGCTCTGGCTACCTCAGGACCTTTGCACTTGCTGTTCTCAAGTCTGAACCATTTTTCCTGAAGCTCTGCATGGCTTCAGATGTCACCTCCTCAGATGTCCTCCGTGACAGCACTCCCAAGCCCAGGCTTGGTGCCAGTCAGGTCACCCAGCTCTGTACCCTCACAGCACACCCCCCTCCCTGATGGTGTGCTCCCGTGTAAAGTCTGCCTGCCCCTCATCAATCGTGAGTTCCTTGAGGGTAGGGATCTTTCTGTTTCTATCACTGCTCTTTCCCCCTCTGCCTAAAATTACTGTGGAGACTCCATAGATCGTTGTTTCATTGACGAAAGCCATTGACGAAAGTCCTGACCCCTTTCCGGAAATGTTGCAGAACCTATTGGGAAATATATACTTATCTAGAAAAGATCACAGCAGAAACCAAAAAAGCAATCACCGCTATTGGCTGGAACCAGCAAACGAGAATTCCGGTACATCACGAGGAATAATAGCTCTGATCGGCAAGGACCCGGGCCTTTTGTCAATTTACAAAAAACACAAATAAAGTAATTATAACTTAATGAGTGTGGTTTGGCAGACAGAAACTCGCCAAGTGGAGGAAGCGGGATGGACAGGAGCGGCTGCCCAGGGCCCGCCCCTCCTGCTGTATGAGCTCAGGCAAGTCACAGCACCGCGCGGGCCTCCGAGCCCTCGCCTGGGAAAAGGGGCTCAAACAGGCCTGCCGCTTAGGGTGACTGCGCATGTGAAGCGAAGGCGGTGAGCAAAATGCTTAGGAAAACGCTCGCTCACAGGAAGCGCTCTGTGGATGCAGGTGTCCATCGTTATCTGTATTTTATCAGGGTGCGCAGGAGAAACGAATCATAAAGAGGCCCGTGTAGAAAACCCGTTCAGTCTAACCTGCCTCACTTTTGGATAACAGCTTTGTTAAGATATAATCCGGCTACCATAAAACCCACCCTTTGAAAGTGTACACTTCACTGGTTTCTAGCATATTAAGAGTTGGGCAACCATCACCCCAAAATTGAGAGTATTTTTTATCACTCCCACCAAAACAAAAAACAAAACAAAACAAAAAAACCCTTAGCAGTCCCTCTCCAATCCCCCTCCTCCCAGGTCCCTGACAACCACTAATTTACCATCTGTCGATTCCCACTGTTTTATAGACGGGGAAACTGAGGCTTAGAGAGGAAGTGACTTGTCCAAGGTCACTGAGCAGGCTCAAGACTCAGAACCCTTGCTCCAGCTGCCCCACCTCCCCCCCAGCTCAGGAGCCTCCTTCCCCCATGAGCCTGGGCGCCCGCCACGCACACATACATACACTCCCAAACCTCCCCTCTCCCACCCCTGCCCCCTAAGGTGCTCTCTTTGGGGCCTTACTCACGGAGTCCAATCTTGGCCAGGTGCAACCTGTTGACCCAGGAGATCTTGCTCAGGGGGTTGGGGGTGATGAAGACCACCATGAAGCTGATGGGACGGCCAGACCTTCGGTGAGAAGGGCGAGGAGTGTGAGTGCTCAGAGCAAGGGCCTGGCTCCCCCGGGGCCAGCACCCAGCTCTTCCCTCACCCCATGCCTGGGAGAAAGGTCTGTTCAGAGCAGCCAAGTGTGGCCAGGGAGGCCGGTGGCCTGCCCAGCAAAGCCTCGGTCCCCTAGGGGAGGGGTCCCTCCACCCACCATGGCCCCAGAAAGAAGGCCCCTCCCCGAGAGCGGCCAGGCCACACTGCAGCCCAGTCCAGGTGCCTCAGCGTGGGCACCCAGAAAGCCAGAGGTGCCTGGCCGGCTGTCGGCTAAGAGGCGAGAGGCCCTGCCCGGGCTCCACCTGGTCAGCTTTCCACGGGCCTTATCAGACACCGGCTCCGGGAGCCTCGGCAGTGTTTCTCTCTATATTTCTGGTGCCGTATCCTCAGGGCAACAGCACTTGGCAAAGGGCAGTTGCCTGGTAACTGTTTGCCAAATGGACACGTGAATGAATGGGGTTATGGCCAGGCCAGAGGCAGCCGGAGGTCAGTTGTCACCACACTGGCATCCCACCTTGGAGCATCAGGGGCCCCTCGGGGTTGGGCATGGCCACGGTGCATGCACACCCCCTCCCATCACAGCAATACTAGCAAACGGACCAGCTCCAGGGGCCCCCTTTGAATACCCCACTTCACTGCCGGCCCCTCCGCCTCTCACTTGTCGGGTTTCCCGGGAAGCAGGAGCCGGAGGCGGCACTTGTTGGCCGATTGGATCTCCTCCTCCTTCACCCGCATCAGCCTCTGCAGGGCCAGGCACCAGTCTTGAGCCACAGTCATGTTCAGGTTCTAGGGCGGAGGAGGCCAATGAAGTCCCCACACAGCCCACTAGCTCCCCAAAAGCCACACCAGATCCTCAGCACCTGGGACGCCCCAGGGGAGAGAAGACAAGCAGGAGGCCAGCTCCCCTGGGCTCTGGGCTGCGGGCAGGCTGCCCGGCCCTTGGTTCAGACCCCACCTGGCACTCCTGTTTTGAGAGTGGCACACCCTCCTAGCAGCTTCCTTTCCAGCCTAGGGCAACGCCAGGAAGGGGCTACAAGACTGACTAGCCACCATACAGAAAACAACAACAAAAAATACCAGACAGCCAGGTCCCCCTCAACCTGAACCAGAGCTTCAACTTGAACCAGAGGCCACACACCAGACTTCTAGGTAGCGACAGGGGGCATAGCCACTCCTGCTGGTTGGGGGAACTCAGAGCCACAGCCTCGTCAGGGGACTGGGCCAGGAGGAGAGCCCCCACTCTGCCTGCTGAGTCTGGGGCTGCCCCGAGGGAGGAGCCGGAGCCCCGCAGGCCAGGCCAGCGCTGCGTACCTGGTAGGTGCCGTGCAGCGTGCTGATGAGGAGGGTGATCTGCTCCACCACAGCCAGGTCCTTCTGCAGGTCCTGCAGCTCCTGGAAGAGTCGCGGGGGACCGAAGTACACCTTACCTGGGCAGAGAGAGACCGAGTCAGCTCAGGAGTCAGAAGACACCAATGAGAACCCAAGTGTCCACTCACTGCAGAAAAGAAGAGCTGTCGCCCTGGGGATATGGCAGCAGAGAGACAGAAAGAAACATTACCAGACTCTTATCTACTGGGGAGCACAGGTCCAACACAGGCAAAGTCCAGCACCTGTGAGGTGGGGCCCACTCTATCTCTACAAAGGGTCACAGGCGACCAGAAGACAGAACCAATTATGCCTGAAAAGAAAGGAGCCCTCATGGGGCCAAGAGAGTGGCGTGCACTGCTAAGAAGTAGAACAGCATGTGCAAAGGCACTGTGGCTTGAGGAGGCCTGTGAACAGCAAGTTGTTCAAAAGCATGCTGAGGACCTACTATGTGCCAGGTTCTATTCCAGGTATTTGAGCAGTGGTTCTCAACCTTCTGGCCCTTTAAATACAGTTCCTCATGTTGTGACCCCCAACCATAAAATTATTTTCGTTGCTACTTCATAACTGTAATGTTGCTACTGTTATGAATCGTAATGTAAATATCTGATATGCAGGATGGTCTCAAGCGACCCCTGTGAAAGGGTTGTTTGACCGCCAAAGGGGTCGCGACCCACAGGTTGAGAACCGCTGTGTTAGAGGGACAGGTGTGAACAAGACAGGGTCCCCACTCTTATGGAGTGCATGACCTGGGGGAAGGGGAAGATGGGGAAGCAGTCGGTTACAACCACAGATGATGGGAGGTACTAAGGAGAATGGTATCAGAGCAATGAGACAGTGATGGGGGGAGGAGGCGGGGGAAGGATGCCCAGATCTCTACTGATGACACAAATGGAGTGCGGGGGCTTGAGAGATGGACAGCAAGTGATGGAGCAGGAGGGACCTGCAGGGACAGGTGGGGAAGTCCTTCAATGCCATGCTAGGGAACTTGGGCTGTATTCTCTAGGCCGGAGTTTCTCAAGCTGAGATCCACGGAATCCCAGGAGGGGCATTATTTGGGGTTGTCATTTAGATGATTATCTAAAATTCAGATGCACATCCTGAGTCACCTGGAGATGATGACTTCAAAGCCATGTTCCGCTGCATGGAGTCCGGGCGCTCATGGACCTTGGTACTGAGCAGGGCGAACTGAATGGTCACCATGGAGCAGGGAGGTGGCCAGGGGAGGGAAGTGATGGCTCATACCAAACAAAGGGCGAGATGGGCTCTGCGGGGACCCCGACAGGTACGCGGGCGGGAATGCGGGTCACCATAAGGCACCCTGTGTCGTGGGTGCAAAGAGCTCCGAAGAACCCGCCCCGTAGGAGGCCACATCCATATTGTGAGCAATTTGGTGCCAGCAAAACAACATCACCCATCCCATGACATTAATGCTGTTCATTTGAATTTTATGGTTTTGTAGCTTCATTTTTATCTCATTTGTGATTTTTGTTTTGGTTTTATGGTTGTTCAAGGGGTCTGAGCATAAGGCGTCAATTATACCTAGTCTTATATTTGCACACATTTGAATAACAACATAATAAAAAATCATTCACGGCCAACTGGGGTTCAACGAGAATTTCCTTTTCCCCTTAAAGGGGGTCTGGCAGCATATGACTGTCATCTCAGGAACGAAGCACAGACAGCACAGTGTTTGAAGGAGGTCCCAGAGTGAGGGCACAGTCGAGGGGTGAGAAGGGGAGGAGATCTGGGGCTGCAGGTGGCTCCGGAGCCCCTCCCAGGGGTTGCTGCACAGGCAGCCCTGCCCGCCTCCCAGACCAGGGGGAAGAAACGCAGCATCTGGACGTGGGCGCAGCTGTCCGGCCAGCCCTCTAAGGGCGAGAGTAAATGATGCAATCGCCCTGTTTCCAGAATCGGCAACAGCCCCATGAGGCAACCTCCAGGGTCAGGCAATGGACAGAGCCCAGAGCCTGAGCCGAGCCCGGCCGGTGGGGGAAGGGAGTGCAGCCAAGCGCCCTCCCAGCCCGTGGAAGGTGCTGCCGGCTCAGTGCTCCTTCCTGCTGGCTCTGCGGTTCAGCACCCTTCATTCATTCAGCAAACGGCTGTTAACAGCCCCTGGAACCAGCTCCGGGCAGCCAATGCACCGGCCTTGAGAGCATGGGGAGGGTGGGGGTCTGGGGGCGGAACCTGCTGGTCCAGTCCCGAGGAATTTAAAGAGGCTTCCTGAGGAAGGGCTACCTGAGCTCGATGAGTAAAGGCAAGTAGACAGAAACAAGCCTGCGGGATGGTCAGGACAGGGGAAGGAGGACCCAGCAGGGCCAGTAAGTCCTGACCTGGTCCCTGAGGGTGTAGGGGCAGGATTAGTGTCACCTGAGACCCTGGCTATCCAGAGGGGCAAACTGAGGCACAGAGAGGAGGTGACACCTGCCCACATCACAGGGAGGCAGGCAATGCCTAGACGGGACTGGCAGTCAAGCTTTCTGACAAAGTCATTGCCTGTGCAGGCATGTGTATGCACACGTGTGTGTGCAAGGACACGTGGGGCTGGAGTGGGCAGGGCCGGGAGTCCAGTGTGTGCAGGTGCGGCTGTGGGATGTGCGTGTACTCACAGAGGTTGGGGTGTGGATGTGGGTTTGTGGGGCTGTAAACCAGCAAGAGCTCTGGGCCCAGTGGCCCAGCGGCCTGGGGGCCCCCGGATGGGCCCTGGAGCCTGAGTAGGTGCTCCCGGGCAGCAGCGGGCGGTACTCACTCTGAGCCTGGCCCGAGGCAGAGGCCTTCTTGGCGCCGGCGTGCTGGATGAGCACGTTATCCTTGTCGTAGGAGCCGCCCTCCTGGCCCACCTCCACCACCTGCACCTGGGGCAGTGCCGTGTTCCACTTCACCACGTACTTGGGCCCCAGGGGCACCAGGCTGCTGATCTCCAGCTGGCCCCTGCAGGGACAGGGAGACGGAGGCCTGGAGAGCCAGCAGCGCCCCAGCCCCGGGCCAGCCCAGATGCCCCTTCTCAGCACATCAGCTCAGCCAGGCACCTCACCACCCAGCACAACACCTCAGGCCAAAACCAAGCCGGGCAGGGCAGGGAGCCGTCGCTGAGGCAAAAGCATCAGGCGCCCAGTCCCCAGCCCCAGATCCAGAATCATGTGCCCCCAAAGCCCCCAAAGCCCTACCTGTGGTTGGCAGGCCTGAGGAAAGAAACAAGGAGGGAAGATGGTTACTGTTACCAAGTGACTTCTACAGGGAATGACTGCTGAGGGCCGGCCAGGCGTGGGCAAAGCGGACCCCATGGAGGGCCTGCTTCCGGGGCCAGCCACTGGCCTCCAGTCTCCTAGTCCCACAACAGCCCTTAGGAAGCCTTTATTATTCTGGACGAGGACACTGATGCTCAGACAGGTCACAGGACTCACCCCAAATCACCCAGACTGATCCCCCAAAGTGGGCCCCTAGCATCCCCATCTCATTTTCGCATCATGCCAGGTAGGCAGAGAGGGTGTTGGTCAGAATGGTACCTAGGACATCAACGGGACTTAAAAATTAGAGTGTGGGAGAGCGGGCGTGCGGGAGGGAGTCAGCCCAGCCATAAGCTGACTGCCGCTCTGCTCTGGGACACAGGCCTCCTTGCCCGAGTTCCCTACCTGTGGACTGGCACAAAGTAAGGGCTCAGTCAATATCTGAAGGGTTAATAGTGCCCAAGTCCCCAAACAGCCCTGCTTGCTCCCCTTCTAGGCATGGAATCTGCAACCATGGACAATCCCCAACTCTGCTCCATGACCCTGGCTAGGGTCACGGGCAGGTGCACCGCCGACCCCGGGTGTGACATCAAGCCAGGCTCCGTGGGCATGCTGACCCTATGGGGGTTCCAGGCAGGGCTGGGAGAGTCAGGCTGGGATTCCACTACGGTGGCTGCTTTCCCTCGGGGGTCCTAGCTATTGTGGCCACACTGTGTGTCTGGGATGTTTTTAAAGTGCGTTAAACACTGGGAGCAGAGTTTTTCCTCCACAAGCAGAGAGGAGCCCGGCTGGGGAGGTCCAGCTGTAGTTCCTTTGGTTCAGGGTCATCATCCCTGCCGCCTACAAGGCCAAGCAAGGGACACAGGTGAGCGGACCAGCAGTAGAGGAGACACGTGACCAGCACCCGGCCCGTGTGCCCTGAGCCATGTGGGATCTTCACATTTTCAAGAAAAACAATTGTCTCTAACTTTGGGCGAATGGCTTATGTGAACCAAACAAAAGATTCCTGAAGGCCTAATGCAACCCATGGGCCACAAGTCTGCAGATTCTAGTCTAAAGAATCACCCTCACGCCATCCAGGGCTCCAGCCCCTCCGGGCACAGCCTGGCAGCCGGCCCTGGGCATTTCTACAACCTCTGACCCCGGAGCAGCACCCCAGGCCCCTGCGGAAGAAGATGCTCTGGGCAGTGGGGGGACTGCCCAGGCTCGTGTGAGAAACACTGAGGTCCAGTGGGAGGAAGAGCCATGGGAAGTAGAGCAGCTGGACACAGGAAGGATCTCATGAATTTCAAAGTGGTCAAAACTCAGGAGGCTGTTCAGTGACCAGAACCGACCACACTGTGCAATGGGCAGCTGTCTCCCAAAGGCCGGGTCCCCGTGACCTCGCCAGGTGCTTCCTGGCTCCGGGACCAGGAACAGAGCAGGTCAGGAGGGATGGGAGAGGAAGCCGGGGTATCAGAGACCTAAGCTGAACTCCCCGGGCCCTGTCACAGAGGGGCCGGCCGAGGGACCCTGTCACAGAGGGGTCGGCCGAGGGACCCTGTCACAGAGGGGTCGGCCGAGGGACCCTGTCACAGAGGGGCCGGCCGAGGGACCCTGTCACAGAGGGGCCGGCCGAGGGACCCTGTCACAGAGGGGCCGGCCGAGGGACCCTGTCACAGAGGGGCCGGCCGAGGGACCCTGTCACAGAGGGGCCGGCCGAGGGACCCTGTCACAGAGGGGCCGGCCGAGGGACCCTGTCACAGAGGGGCCGGCCGAGGGACCCTGTCACAGAGGGGCTGGCCGAGGGACACTGTCACAGAGGGGCCGGCCGAGGACCCTGTCACAGAGGGGTCGGCCGAGGGACCCTGTCACAGAGGGGCCGGCCGAGGGACCCTGTCACAGAGGGGCCGGCCGAGGGATACTGTCACAGAGGAGCCGGCCGAGGACCCTGTCACAGAGGGGCCGGCCGAGGGACCCTGTCACAGAGGGGCCGGCCGAGGGACCCTGTCACAGAGGGGTTGGCCGAGGGATACTGTCACAGAGAGGCTGGCCGAGGACAGGAACAGGTCCCCAAAGTCCCCCAACCGCTTACTTGAAGTTGATGTTGGCGCAGACCAGCATGTCGTTGAGCAGGAAGACCCTGCGCTCCTTGGACTTGATCAGCTGCCCGCGGTCACCGTACACCGTCTCCGTCAGCGTCTCACAGAGGAGCAGCTGCCTCTGGCCCGAGGTCAACAGCTGGTGGAGGGGGACAGAGCAAGGTCAACACCAAGAAGCACGCAGGCTGTTACACAGCTATCACCGTGCCAAAGACCCAGAGCTCTCCGGCCAAACGGAGACCGAGGCTGGGAGAGGCAGAGAAGGCAGGGCCTCGCCCTCCACCTCCAGGTAACAGGAGGCCCTGGGGAGGGCCACAGGCTGGGTCCTCTGACCACCCACCCTGCCCAGCAGCCAGCATCCCTCTCAGGTGAGCCAGCCATTGCAGCCCGTCCCTCTGGCAACCCCGCCTAACCAGCACCACCAGGACCCCCAGCCCTGGCTCCCCAAGCACCAGCTGGGAAGCCATCGGGAGGATCATTTCACCTGCCCACACCTCAGCTGTCAAGTGGGGCAACAAACTCCACCGCTCAGGTCACCAAGGTAACGCACGAGCAGACGTGGCTACGTAACTTCCCAAGCCCAGAGCAAGATGGAAATGTGCCCCTCGTTCAAAAGTTACTACGAATTACAAGACGGCAATAGCAGCGCATTAAACCCAGCACGGGCCCTTCTGCGCCCTGGCCCTGTGACAGTTCCGGGGTGCACCCACGAAGCTGACATGGCAAAGATGGCAGCTGTCCCCGCTGCTGCTGTCGTGACTGAGCTCACCAGGAAGGGGTGTGGCCTCACGCAGGGAGACCCCGGGCCTGGAAGTCGGTCAGGTCCCTGCACCCTGACCTGTTGAACCTCGGCCACTCTCACCTCTTGGAAGGGCTCCCAACAGGGCAGGGAAGGTCTGCTGGTCAACAAGGCGACCCTCTGAGGTGGCCAAGGACCTTCAAGCCCCAGGCCTCTCCGCAGCCTGGACACCAAGAACCCCCTCCAGCACTGGGACCCCCTGGGAAAACATCTTTTTATTAATAGGAATATTGGGGAGTGGGGAGGCGTTCAGCAAAATTCGTTCCCAAAACCCATAACTCCAAGGGCAACAGTTATTCTCCCCACCCTCCTGAGGGGACGGGCAGAGCCCCCCCCAAACCTCTCCTTGAAAGAATGCCTGTCAATCTCCAAAAACCCATGTGTGTCTGTCCACAGAGAAGTCCAAACAAACAGTACGAAACCCCACTGTGCGCCGGCCACGGTGCTCGGCACTAAGCATTCCGCTTCTCGCTTCATCTGCGCAGCAGTCCCGAGGCCATGCCCATCCCCAGAGGAGGAAACGGAGATCCCAGAGGTGAAGGCACCTCCGAGACTCAGTGTGGATGGAGTCAGGCCGAGTGCTCGGTCCCTCCAGCTCGGGGCTGGGCCATCGGAGTCAGCGGAGAACCCGCTGCCCCGAACACAAGGAAAAGATTCGAGGTTCCTCGGGTTCCCCCCATAACTGCTGAGGCCGAGCTCCTCCCACTGCTTCTACCAACAAGCTGACCCCCGCTCAGGAGACAGGCCTGGGACCCTGAAGACAGCGGGCCCCGTGGGAGACTGCCAAGTGTGCTGTGACCCAAAACGTGGAAGAGGAAAGTCCCCTGGGCTTCTGGCAACCAACCCCCTGCCCTTAGGCAGAGTTAAAAAGAAAACCCAGATATTGCACAAGCGTCCCCCAGAGGGTCCCGAGCAGGCACATTATGAAACAGCCGCACAGTTCCGTTTGCGGCCCACCCAGTTTCATTTCCGCTTTCCCCTGGGTGATGGAGCAGGGGAAAGCCACTGGTCCAGCTGAGATTGCCCAAGGGGGCCCTGGCAGGGGGAAGGCACGGCGGCCGCCACCACACTCTTCACAACATCCACACCTAGCAAGACACCCCCTACATGACAGGTGGAGAACCAGACTCAGAGCCTACAGTTCCTTGCCCAACGCCAACAGGTTTCCCTGACCTCCAGCCAATGACCACCACTCCTTACTGCCCGGGTCCCCCTGGGGGACAGAGCAGAATAGAAGAGATGGCTCTTCCCAGAGTAACTGCTACAGCAAAGGGCTTCCTTTTCCCGATAATCTCTTCCCAGGGCAGCTGCACAGGTGTGTGAGCAGAGGCAAGAAAAACCCTGCCGGTTACAGAAAAGGAGCTAAAGCAGAGGACAGAAGAAGATACTCCAAAGGGCAAAGCCCATTAAATACCAGCGCAGGTGGCCACGGATGGGCTGAAGTCTTTTTCTCAAGAGACATCCCAAGATAGAAGGCTTGGGTGTTACTAGCTACCATAGGGTGTCCTGCCTAGAGGCAGGGAGCGGGCAGGGGATGACGCCCAGCCTTCATGCCCGCCTTGATCAATCATGGATGGGGACGTCCCCCCAGGAGGAGGCTCTGTCTTCTACCCATCTTTTTCCCCCATCTCTTTCTTCCTGGAATAGGTGAAGCAAACCCAGATGCCTGTGGGGCCAGCAGGGAACCTCACTGGGAAGACGTGGGGAGGGGCTGAGGGGAGTGGGAAGCCCCAGCTCAGGTGACTGTTACCATGTAGGAAGTTCCTTGCCCAACACCAACAGGTTTCCTAGCTCTTCCAATCCTTCAGGAAGACCCTCAAGTCTGAATTTTATGGGATAGCTCTCCATTTTCAAATGTTGGCAACTAATTCCATTTTTTTTTTTTTTTAACTACTGTGTGGGTCCAAAAACACATGCCTAAATTTGGTGGGAGAGTCTCCAGATGTAGGACCCTTGACGCTTAGAATTGCAAGGGACCCTGCAGGTTGTCTTGTCCCAGCCCGGTTACTCAAGCTGTGCTAAAGATATTTTAAAAAATGGCAATGTGGGTTAGAGAGTACTATATACTGTAAGGTCGCGGTCCACCTGGAAAAGGCTGTTTTCCGACAACCCTTCCCGTACTATTAGGACATTCACCATGTGGCTGAAATCTCACTGGCCTTAGTCACTGGCCTTAGTTCTGCTTTCGGGCCCACAGAGCCAGAAGGCTCCCAGTTTTCCCCAAAAAAGATCTGGACATCTCCCCATGACCCAGCACAAAGTCACTTCCCCAAAGAACGACCCGCGTTCCCGCTACTGTGCCCTGGGGCGGGGTCGCCTCACCCTGAACCATCTGGGCCAACTTCTACCCTCCGGTAAGTGAAGGAAGGTGAAGGCTGGGGTGCAGGTCTGGGGTCTTGCAGGCAGCTGAGGTCGCATGCCACTCGGACACAGAGGACTGACGTCTACCAACAGGTGGCTCTAGGACGTGACTTTTTTGGTACTGGCTTTGTATTTTTATATGTTTTTATTGATTTCAGCGAGGAAGGGAGAGGGAGAGAGAGGTAGAAACATCAGTGATGAGAAACATCATTGATTGGCTGCCTCCTGCACGGCCCCTACTGGGGATCAAGCCCACAACCCGGGCATGTGCCCTGACCAGGAATCGAACCGTGACCTCCTGACCCACACTGGCCGGGCTGGCTTTGTATTTTGAAAACAGGGGCCTCTACAGGCTTATTTGAAAGTTCTTCAAGATTTTGGAGGGGAGGGAGGGGTAGAATATTCCTAAGTTACAACCCCAAGACCTAGCATGGACTTTTCATCTTTCTTCTTCTTTAAAAAAAACACTGATAATGTTATTTGTATTAAGTCCTTTGTATTAAGGGCTCTGGGCCTGCTGTTTTTCTGACTCCCTCATTTGCCCCTGGGGGTCAGGCAGCTTTGAATTCTCCTTTCAGTGGGAGCAAGTGAGGTTCAGAGAGGTTGTGTGATTCCCCTGAGGCCACACAGGGAACGCCAGTAGCAACATCAGGATCCAAACCCCGAACTCTGACTCCAGAGCCCACTTGCTCAAGCACAGTGTTAGGCTACCATTTCCCATATCTTTACCGGCAATTCCATGAATGAACAAAATGAGCTTTTATCCTAAAGTAACACAAACAGTAATGAATGTGGGGGTCCAGTGAGACTAATCCTCCAGGTAAGGTCTGTGGGCACAGAGAGAAGCCAGGCAGCCCCTCCCTCCGAGAACACTGCCACCTGGTGGTGGCCACGAGGCAGGCGGCAGAGAGGTGACCAAGGCTGCAGAACAGGTGAGGGCATGCTCGCAGGTGGGGCGCCCCCCCCCCCCCCCCCGCACTCACCTTGTTGAGGCTGCTGCGGTCGCTGACGCTCTTGGTCAGCTGCTGGATCTCGGCCACCTGGTCAGCGAGCCGCTTCTGCTCGTTGAGCTTCTCGGCCAGCGTCTCCAGCTCCGTGAGGGCCAGCTGCAGCGAGAGCCTGTCCGGGTGGCCCCTAGGGGTGTTCTTCAGCATGTCCTGCCAGGGCGGAGAGAGCCAGGGATAAGAACCCCACCCTAGCAGACCCCCCCACCCCGGCTGGAGTCAGAGCCTCAGCCTCCACACCCCTGCAGACCCCCCTGGCTGGGGTCAAACCCTCAGCCTCCACACCCCTATGGAGACCCTGGAGACCGGTCTGAAAGGCTCAGTTTGCAGCCAGGACAGGTGGGACTTGGCATAGAACATGGCTCAAGGAACAGCGAATGAATGAAAAAATAACAAGCATGTGGACCCATCCCTGATTCACCGATGCTGACAGCCACTCCCCAGCTGGCAGCTCTGAGGACAGAAAGGAGAACGCTGCTGGGCCCTTGGCTGGCAGCCTCCTTCCCAGCTGGGCCCAGGCTCACCCGTGACAGAGATGCCCCAAGGTCTCGGGCCCTGGGCATGGGGTGGGGCAGGAACATGTGGGGAGGGGGCCTCTTGCTTCCTGTGAAGCCTGAAGTGGCCCAGGTCAGCTCATTCCCTGAGCATCTCCTCCCTGCCCAGAGCCCATAGGTCCTGGGTTCCGCATGCCTTCATTTCCTTCCAGAATCCTGGGCTCACCCACCACCAGCCACTCAGCATTCCACATGGAGAGATGGGAAATACGCTCCCAATCTGATCGGCTCCACTCCAGGAGTGAAGTAGGAGGGGCCAGGCGGGCGGGGGAGGGGAGAAGCCCCGCCACAGGCCACAGCGGATGCAGGGACTGCAGAGGACAGATGAGAGCCCCCACCCACCAGGGGCGCACCATGCAGGCAGGGGGCTGCAGAGCCCCGGGTGGTACCTGAAGCAGGAGGATGAACTGCGGGAACCTCTGGATGGGCTTCACCATCAGCCCGTAGAGCGTGACGCGGTCGGGGCTACACACCTGCCGCCGCTGTTGGAGACGAGGTGCAGTCATTCGCTGACCCTCTGCAGCGAGGCCCCCGCGCCCCCGGCTGCAGACGCCGCCCGGGATGGGCTCCTCTCCCCGGGCCCAGGACTCTGCTCAGCCTCGGGCCTGAGAGAAGAGCCAGGGGGGTCTCTGGTCCCGCGGCTCCCGGCCACCACGGGTCCCCACACAGCCCCTCAGCCTGGAGAAGCTAGAGCGGTCATGTTAAGGTCTCTGGACTAACAGCATAACTGGGAAGTTCAGCAGTTATTGCAGTGGTCGTACCTCCACAGTAGCCGAGACAGCCATTCCCTCCACTTAAACCAGCGGTTCTCAACCTGTGGGTCACGACCCCTTTGGCAGTCGAACGACCCTTTCACAGGGGTCGCCTAAGACCATCCTGCATATCAGATATTTACATGACGATTCATAACAGTAGCAACATGACAGTTATGAAGTAGCAACGAAAATAATTTTATGGTTGGGTCACAACATGAGGAACTGTATTTAAAGGGCCGGAAGGTTGAGAACCACTGAAACGAAAGCAGCCGGGCCTGGCCAGGATGAGGGGGGGGCACGGGGGTCTTACTGTCCTCTCTCTTGCATCTGTTCCCACCACTCCATCCACACACCTGTCGCCTAGATCCTGGCCCTCGTCCCTGGTAACCCAGGCTGCTGCCACAGCCTCTCCACTGCCCCAGGTCCCTCTGCCCCGGCCCAAAGCCCCGCAGCAGCTCCCACTGTCTGAAACACACTGTCCCGCAGGTCCAGGGCCGCCCACACTCAACACAGCTGCCTCTGGGCCTCCTCTCCCGGGACTCCCAGCAGCAGTGCTCCCGGGATCCACCCAGACGCGCTCACCTGACGCCATCCTCCTGCCTCTGACCTTTGCCCCCACCCTGCACCTGTTACACCCCTCATCCATCTCCACCTGTTATAATCCCATCGTACCCCCAGGACCCATGGCAGACGCCCTCTTGGACCAGGGCATTGGGTTCCTCAGCTGAGGCCTGGCTCTGGCTCACCTGCACCCTCCACCTGGCAGCATGCTCCCTGCAGGTAGGGCCTCCATCTGACTCGCCTGACTAAGCCCCCAAAGAAATCTGGGGGAGCCTGGCCACAGCTACATGAGGCCTTTGGTCCTTTTACCTTAATCTGCCACATGAACCCCAAGACCCCCTTTGAGAAATTCTCCTCACCCTTTTACAAATAAGGAAGGGATTGTGGTTCGATTCCTGGTCAGGGCACATGCCCAGGCTGTGGGCTCCGTCCCCGGTAGGAGGTCTACAGGGGGCGCCCGATCAATGAGCCTCTCTCATCATTGATGTTTCTATCTCTCTCTCCCTCTCCCTTCCTCTCTGAAATTAATAAAAATCTATTTTTTTAAATAAGAAAAGGGACAGCCCAGCGACACCCTGAGCTCTACCTGGAGGCACCCTGCCCAGCCCGCCAGAGGTGCAGGCCCCGGCACTGCTGGGTCTCCCCACCATCATCTCACCCATCCCCAAGAGGTCACAGGCCTCCCCTTCTGCCTGGCAAAGCCAGGATCCCAAGAGGCTAACTGTCACTCATCCTATCCCTCCTGCTGGGGGGCAGGAGGAACCCCTGTCTTCCCAAGGGACTGTGGGAGCCCCAAAGGAAAGAGGTGTCCCCCCCAAAGTGACATGCTCCCTGAAGCTGGGCCAAAGTCCCCCCTCCTGAGAAGCCCTCCCGCCCCACCGCCGCCAGCACCCGTTGAGGGGGCTGCGGACCACCGCCAGGCCCACCTTGAGGAACTCGAGGAAGGCGGGCTTGGTGAGACAGGCCTTCTTGATGATGGACATGGCGTTGGTGAAGTTGTTCACGTAGTCGCTGTACACGTCGAGCACCATGGACTTGGAGAACTGGAACGGGCATGGGAGTGGCACGGGAGGGTCACACCCCGCCCACCCTCACTGCCACCTCAACTGCTCTGACGACGCCTGGAGGATCTCAGCTAGTCTGAGGTCAGGACACCTGTCACCCCAGGGAGGGGAGGAGACCGGGCTCAGAGAGGCCAGGAGACCCGAGGTCGCAGGGAGGAAGAGGCGGGGACAAGGACAGCCTGGTGCTCCTCCTGCCCTAGCACGGCAGCCCCGCCCACCGGTGAAGGTGTGGCACCCCCAGAAAATAAAATCCCCCTGGCCCTTCGCCCCCCCAGGGGCTGCTCCTGACTCCATACTCCTGGGACACACTGACAAGGTGTCAGATCTGCTGAGCACTCAGGTTTTAAGCAATCCTTTCTCTTTTAGAAGAACCCAAATATGTAAGACAGATCAGAGTGGGGTTCCACTGACTTCACCCTCCTTAGCTCCAAGAGTCTCTCTGGGGCCCAGGGGCTTCTGACACACCCCTCACTTCACAGAGGGGACCTGGGTCTGAGAGGGCCCTAGAGCTGCCGGACATGGCCAAGCCAAGCGGAGGCCAGGCCAGGTCTCTGGAGTGTGACCCATGCTGAGGAGGCCCCGACGCCCTGGGACACCCTCTGGGGGCCAAGGCGTGTTCTGTTTAAGCATCGCCAACTGGTCACCCGGAGTGCCCGGCAGGGGACCTTCAGACCCCCGGTGGCTGCCCACAGCGGCCGGTCCCCTGGAGATCCCCAGCACCACGCCGGCAGCCATCTCCAAGGCCACACCGGGCACTGGAAGGTGCCAGGCCGACCCCTGGCTTGGACCACAGGGCAGATTCGGGCCCCGCCACCCTGTGACCCCACTGACTCGGACAGGGGAGCAGGCAGAGGCAGGAGGCTGGCCCACATGACCACAGGGCCAGGCAGGCTGTGGTCTCCCCTGGGTGGGGGGCCAGGGAGAGAGTCTGGGGACACCTACCGAAGCCACGAAGAGGTCCCCGATCTTCTCGGAGGCGTCCCACTCGGCCACGCGGGAGGACAGGGCGATCTGGAACATGGAGTGGCAGTGCAGGATCTCCTTCACGCGGAAGAACACCACCTGGCACTTGCGGAGGCTCAGCGCCTTGGGCTCCATCTCCACCAGCGGGTTGCGGTAATCCTGCGGGGCGGGCGGGCGGGGTGAGCCGGCCAAGGCCAACGAGAACTCGGCGGGCCAGGCTGGGCCTTCCTGTCGGGGGAGCAGGTATCCCTCCCTCCTCCCCCCTCGCCTGTCTTCTAGGAGGATCTCCATGATGTAAGCCTCCCGGCCCCCCTGTGCCCACCCACAGCCCACCCCATGACGTCTGTGTTAAGCTGGGCTGGGAGGAGCTCCGTGGTGTCAGCCCGCAAGGCCAGGCTGGCCCTGTAGAGCTCTGCCGAGCCTGAGCCAGTCTGTCTGAAGGAGCGGAGGCAATGATGTCCCGGGGAGCCCCCCTGTCCCCCAGCTTTGTCAGACACACAGGCGTTTTCATCTTCATCTCCACCTGCCTGAGGTCCGGGGACCAGGCTCCCCTGTGTGGCTCCCACCCTGACAACACCCTTCCCTGTTGGCCTCACTCCGAGAGCCCACAACACCCCAGCAGATTCACCGCTTCAGGAATGCAAACGACAGACCAGGTGGATACACCTGGACCAAGTCACATGACCATCTAGCAATCCCTGGGCATCTGATGGCGAGAGAGGCTGCCTCCTACTCCCCGACTTGGGGGCTCCAGGCCAATGGGAAGGCACGGCCCTGTCCCAGGGGCTCCCAGAGAGGCGGGCGAGGAAGACACAGTCCCTTTCAGGCAGGAAAAGGACCCCGTGCCCTGGACTCTCCAGAACAGCCCTCATTCCACAGAACCCCAACTTTATTTCAGAAAACGCAGGCCCCCCCATGAACACCAAGGCATCCAGAATTCTTAATGTCTCCCATTTGGAGGTCCGCTGTCCCCACAAAAGTTCTGGCCTTTGGCCCCCTCCCCTTACACTCCCTGCCAGGTGTCCCTGAGGCCCCCCCCCCCCTCCCAGGGGCCCCAGAGTCGTACCTGGAGGACCCGTTTCAAAGACTCCACGTAGCTGCCTTCGCTCTGCACAATGGAGCCCAGGATGTGCCTCCGGACCACCTGCTCGGGCCGAGAGCTCGGTCAGCGCCTGCACCAACCATGGCACAGAGCAGCACCTACTGTGCGCAGAACCCAGGTGACGGGAAAAGGAGCCCCAGTGCCCAGAGGAGCTGACAACTAAGGAACCCATCCCTCCCTGAACCAATGGGCCTGGAGGCCCGGCATTTCCTTCCAGGGCCCCTGCCCACTCCAGAGAAACACCCGTGCTCCCCAGTCTGCAGAATGGGGCGGGGGCCCTGGACGACCCCCAGGTGCCCAAGCTGTTCCCAGGGCAGAGTTCTCAACCGCATTGACATTTAAGACCAGGTGATTGTGTGGACCGTCCTGTGCACTGTAAGATGCCTAGCAGCATCCCTGGCCCTTACCCCCTAGACTGCAGTAGCATCTCCCAGTTGTGACAAGCAGACCTTGCCAGATCACCTGGCACAAAATCACCTGGTTGAAAGCCACCGGCCTAGAGTAACTCGTCTTGCCTGACCCAGGAAATTACAGCCTCCCGGTCAGAGACCAGCCAACACCAGGAAGGGAAGCCCTGGGCTACAAGCTGAAGCCTGGGATCTCGCCGGCTCCACCCGCTCGGACAGTGGCTCCCTGCATGGGGGCAGGGGAGCGGGGTCACCTTCCCAATGTGTTCAGGGGCCAGGGTAACAGAAATGAAGGAAGCAGGCGGATGGCCTCCCAAGACGAGAGGTGCGGCCCCATCTCCCTGATTTTAAGAGGCCGGACATCCGGGTTCTCTGCCACCCAAAAAGGTGACAGATCCCCTTCACTGAGCTTGGGGCCCCTCACACGTCTTGCCTGGTGTCCTCACAACCAGAGGGAAGCAGGTCTCTCACGCTGGTCCGTGGCTGGGAAAACCCAGATGGGGAGGGAATCGATCTGACCGCCCAGGTCCCCCAGCAAAGCCGCCCGGCTCGGCGTGACACTGGGAGAAGGAAGACACGGCCGAGGAGCCGGCTCGGAGGGGAAGCCCGTGTGACTCTGAGACCCCATCCTGACGACAGGTGGACGGAGGGTGGGACTGGACACCTCGCTCAGTCCTCTCGGAGCGGATTAGTTCAGTGCGTCTCAGCCCTTTTTAAATTTAGTCCCTTTCGTCAAACAACACTTTCATTTGAAACAGGTAAGTCGGAGCCACTCTGGTTGCTGTGGGCGTGGGAAGCAAGGCTCCAGATTGGGAGGGGGGGGGGGGGGACCCACCGCCAGGGACCACAGCGTGGGACCCTCGGGGCCCAGTTTGGGAAGTCTGTGCAGCTGGTTGGGAAGAGAACCCAAGAGGCCCCAGCCGGGGTTCAGCCAAGAGCCCCGGACCATCACTTCCCCTTCAAGATGCAGATCTTGTGGCCCCAGGTAATAAGCTGGGACCCCAACATTCCTTCCCCTGAAGACTCCCACCCTCCGCTCCTCCCACAGACCTGCTGAGGGCTCAGGCCATCGGGCATGGGGCCCAGCTCCGGGGCTGGGGGCTTGATGTCCGTGACGCTGACCTCCAGGAGCCCCATGTCCTCATCCTCCGAGTCACCTGGAAAGGCAGACAGGTTGGTGACACAGTAAGGCCAGGACAACACACCCTGCTCAGGCTCCAGGAGCCGGGAACCACCCTGGCCCGGGGTCCTGGGGGCTGAGTGGCGCCTGGGGCCACACAGGGTCAGAGCCCAGTGGCCGCATCCTCGGCCACAATCCCCTGCAATAGCCTGTCCCTAAATAACCATGAGCGAGGGAGGAAACAGCAGCATCCATTCGCCAGCGTCCCTGTCCCTACTCAGACCCGCCCGCTTCTGGCCTGGCAAGGCCTGGCCGCCTGGGAGCCCATCACCAGGCACTAAAAATAGTTTTCTTCTGGACGCCGGAAAGGGAGAAGGAAGACCCCCAAAGAACGAGCTATTTGGCTTTGTGTTTTCATCTTTCAAAAAAATATGCAAAAACGCCAAAGGAGAAAAGTTCAGCTGGTGTCCTCAGGGCACCGTGGGCACGAGTGGGCGTGGGTCCCAATGGAGGGCAGGGGAGGCAGGCTCAGGCAGAGAGAAGGGGAGGCTGGCGGAGGGCAAGGGTCTGGCCTTGGAGTCTGGCCCCTACGAGAGAGAAGTGGACACGGGAGACGGGACCCTGGCTGCTCAGGGCTCTGACACACCATGGCAGCAGCTGTGGGCAGCAGGAAGTGGGCGCCCCGGGGAAGCTGGGAAGAAAGAAGTGGCAGTGACTCCCGGGGCCAAGGGAGCAGGGACACTCAGGTAGGCCCTTACCTGAGCAGGAGACGGAAGAGGAGGAGGAGGAGGGACAACGAACCACAGCGTGGGGGTGGGGGTGGTGAAGGCCCTCCTTCCCGGCCCACATAGCACCCGGGCGATCACTCCGCACCCACCCCAGCCTCCGGCCCTGCGGCTTCCTCTTCCCCCATGCAGCGCTGGGTAACATTCTTGGCCGGTGATTCGAGCTCTGCCACAGCTATTAATAACGCCTCTGGTGGGAGGGTCACTTTAGGAAAGGCTCTGGGCCTGGTGGGGAGGGCCCGGGGAGAGCCCGCTGGCCGCCTGGCTGGCCTGGGGGTGGGGAGACTGACCAGGAACTGCTCCCAGCCAGCGCGCCTGTCCACCCTGCTCTTTCTCCCGGGCACTCCACTGCGTTCGGGCCTGTCCCCTTCCACACCGGGGGCCAGGGCACCCTCACAGGGTTAGTGCTACATCCGCGCATGCACTGTTGGGATTAACTGTGCAGCGTCACATGGCCAGGAGGCAGCAGAGCTGGGATCTGAACCCAGGACAGAGAGATTCGGTCCTGGCACCAGACACCAGACACCCCACTTAGTGCCGCCACCCCCGGCCCCTTCCACAAACACACTGACAATAACACCTGCCAAACAGGAACTGGGGGCTAAGCCAGGCCCTTTCCATGCACTGCCTTGGTCATCCTTACCACAGCCCCCTGAGACAGATGCCATCCTAGCCCATTGCCCGGGTGAGCAAACTGAGGCACAGAGAGGGTGAAATAAAAGAGGGCGCAGAGCCTCCGGTCTCCCTGGCCTACACACCTGACCTGGCCCCGCTCTCTCCCCCCACCCTCACTCCAGCCAGAGGAAGGAGCCTCCTCCATCCCTTCTGTGCCTGTGTGTCCCCAGGCAAGTCACTGAAGCAGGCTGCGCCTGCTCCCTCCTCTCTGAACGGGAACAGGACAGCCTCTGTAGCTGCCTGGTGTTTATTAGGATTCAGTGAGGAGCTGTGAAGCTCTTATGAGCGCCTGGCACGCAACAAATACTCGATAAACGTGAATTCTCACGAAAATCATTTCTGGGACATCGCCTACGTCCCCGCCTCCCGGCCTTTGCACGGGCTCCCTTCTGCGCCCGGAGCACCCGTTCCCCTCCCCTACCCCCTGCTGACCGACCTGGGTCTCCCTCTCCTGCTCTCAGCCCTTCCCTGACCTTCAACCCCACATTCCATGCCCGTTTTCCCCACCCCGCGCCATGGCACCCCACCATGCCGCCATGCTGCCTGTCATTTCCTGTCTACAGGCCTGTCTCCCCTGCTGCACCAGGAGCTCCTGGAGGAAATGCTGTTCTATGCATCGCGGTGCCCCTGCACCCAGCCCGGGGCGCGGCACTTAGTAGGTGTTCACTAAATGCTGGCTGGTGGGGAGATGGGTGGCTGATAAAGGAAGGAATGAACAACAGAACTCAAAGGCGAGGCCAGGTGAGCTAGGCAGCACAGAAGGCCCAGGGCAAGAGCAAGGGCAAGAGCAAGGGCAGGGACGCTAAAGGGAGAGGCCCCACCTCCCCTGGAAGAGAAGGCCACGCCTCCAAGAGAAATAGGAAATAGGCTGGGACAGCGGCCTGACACTTGGGGTTCAGTCCCCAAGACCCACCGCCAGAGGAGCCCAGACACCAGTGACCTCGCCCACCAGGCCCTGCTGCCACAGGGCTGGGCACCAACCCTCCCCAGGCCGGCCCATGGGCCTCACCGAGGACGTCTTTCCTGTGCAGGAAGGACACTTTGCGCAGGACGGCGATCCTCGTCTTCTCCAGCCCGTCCTTGGTCCCGCTCCTGGCGGCCTTCATGAACTGGGTCATCTGGGCAAAGGCAGAGGCGCTCATCAGAGAAGCGGAGGGAGGCCCTGGGCCGCTGGCCACCAAGGGCCACCAGCTCCTCCCAGGCCTCCAGGCCTCCAGGCCTCCAGGCCTCCAGGCCTCCAGGCCTCCAGGCCAGGACGACAAACATCAAGACCCCGGGGCCCGTGCCCTCCCAGGGAGGTGGCAGCAGAGCCCAAGAGGGACAGTGGGGCAGGGCGCCCCGAGACCGCTTGAGACCTCCTGGGACAGGATGAGAAGGAGGATCTCCCTAGGGGAACCCTCTTTTGGGGCAAGGGGAGGTCCTAACTCCATTTTTCCCCTTTGGGACAAATTATACAGCACCTACTCCCATCAAATCGAGGGGAGGTGTCGCGTGGGGGAAGGCTCGAGGCCTGGGGTCCCAGCCTGGCTGCAAGTCCCAACTCCACCACACCCAGCAACGTGACTCTGGACGCAGCTTAACCTCAGTGAGCCTCAGGCTCTCGCTGAGACTCACCAGGGCCATGAGGACCACGCGGGCAGGTCTGGGGAAGCACGCTGGACCGAAAAGCAAGCTGCACAACACCAGGTTACTTAAGGGGCCACCCCAAGGAGGGGAGCACACACCTCCATCCCATCTGCGGAACCCGAGGGAGGAACCCCGTCCCGTGCCCCCAAACAGCCAGGTTTCTTACTGAGCCACTGTCCAGGAAAGGGGAGAAGGCTGACGTTGCCACAGAGCAGGGCGCAGCTTCCCCTCTGCGGGGAGGGCCTGGGGCAACAGCGCAGCAAGCTAAGCAGAATGCGGGCACAGGAGGAGGCGTGCCCAGGAGGGGAAGCGGGCACCCTGGGTGCTGGGGGAGCCCTGGCCTGCAAACAGAGCTGCTGTCCCCTAACTCATTCTTTCATCCCCTCCACACCCAGCCCAGCCCTGGCATCTTCCCCGACACACAGCCGGCGCCACTGAGAGAAGCTTCTAGAGGGATGGACATGCCTCCTCTCTGTGCTGCCAGCGCGGCAGCCACTAACCCCACGTAACTTGCGGACACTGGAAAAGTGGCTGATGTGACTGAGGACCCAAACTCCAGGTTATATTTCATTTTCATTCATTTGAATTTAAATAACCCCATGGCTGTCATCATGGACAGTGCCTGCCTAGGAACACCCTCTCCTTCCTGAGCCTCTGCTGCAGCTGGGGGGCACTCATGGGGCGAGGGGGGGCCTGGTCTCTGCTCTCAGGACCTCCTTCCTCCGAACACCCCCTGGGGCCCCAGCAGAAGGGGCGGGCGCTCCGTGGGGGTCTGGGAGAGGAAGGCTTGCTGTAAACCAGTGGGGGCTGAGGCTGGGGGCAGGGTGGCGCTTTTCAGGAACAAGGCCAACTTTCTAGAAACAACCAGCCGTGGGTGGGGAAGGGACGTCCCAGCCCTTCCTCCCCTCTACATGGACAATGTGAGGATAGCAGGGCTTGGCCTTTTGGGCAGGGTCATAAACACCTGTGAGGACTAACAAGAGGGACAGATGTCGACCCCAAACTGCACGAAAACGCTCATCCTCCCCTGAGGGGGTCACCCTGCCCCCCAGATAGGAAACCTCTGTCTGGAGCCCAGTTCCCGGCCTGGTAGAGCGCCATGTGCAGGGCTGTCCTAGGAACTCCCCACGTGGTCTTTGGGGGAACCCCCTGCAGCCTCTCTGCTGGCATTTTCCTGGGCAGTAAAAGGGCAGGTGAGCACCCCAGAGGTGTCCCTGAGTCAGCCTGCCACCCCCACCCACCCTCACGGTGCAGAGGCCGCACCAGGAAAAGCACTGGTCTGGGCCTCTTGTCCTCCACATGCTCCCTGCTCCTCTCTGGCCTCGGCTTCCCGGGAAGTTAAACCTGCCCGACCCCAGGTGCCAGGCGCCTCGGGGCACCTGTAAAAGGGCCTGCACATTGCAGAGTGTCTCTTCTCCTCTCCCTGGGGAGGCCTTGGGTTCGAGGGGGACAGTGCCACAGGCTGGAGAGTGCAGGCTTTGACCCGCACGAACCCAGGTGTGAAGCCCAGCTCCGCTGCTGACCCTGGTGTGACCCTCGCCGTCCTCACTAACGCTCAATGACAGCAGTGACCCCCTGCCTGCAGGGTGCCCTGGGGACAGAACAGTCGGGCACACAGTCATACTGCCACCGTCCACTGAGCGCCCGGTGTGCTGAGTGCAGCACCGAGCACCCAACATGCCTGAGCTCATCCTTACATCCGCCCGAGGGGCTGGTACTGCTAATGTCCCCATTTCTCAGGCAAGGAAACCGAGGTCAGAGAGGTCAAGAGACCTGCCCAGGATCACACAGAGAGAAAGTGGTGGGACGGGGATTCAAACCCAGGCCTTCGGGCCTTCAAAACCCATAGCACATGGTAGTTGCTCAATGAATGGAAGCTACTGCTGTCAGCAGCATCATTATCCAGCAATCTAAGTCCCATCTGAGAAACAGGTCCCCTGAATCTCTCTGCACAGGATGGGGAGGATGTCTATGTAACACAACTGCCCCCCCCCCCCAATGGTTATTAAATATGCGGACTGCAGGGCCTTGGTCCGGACCTACAGGCTCAGAGTCTTTGGGGGATGGGGGGGCTCAGAAATCTGCATGTTTCAAAGCTCCCCGGGTGATTCCAAAGGCCCTAAGTTTGAGAACCCACCCAGGAACTCCTGTAGACCGGTGAGGCTTCGCTTGGGGGTGGGGAGAAACAGGCCTGCTAAGGCGCCAACCAGCTCCTGCACAGGTGCGTCCCGCGGCCAGTTCTGGGTCTCGGGGGCAGCCCAGGGCTCGGCCCACCCTCTGCGGCCCAGGACTCGGGAGGGACAGACAAACAATACCTTACAATCGTACTTGTGCTTCAGCTCCTGCATGTCTCTCCCCCCAACTCTTAAAGCCAAGATGTCTCTCTTAGTCCTGGCGTATCTCTCCTTTAGCCTAGTCAGGTCTGGAGAAAGCTGGAGCCCCCAAGCGGCCAGGCAGAAGGAGAGCAGGTGAGAGGAGCAGGCGGGACAGGGCGGAGACAAAACAGGGACAACAGAGGAAAAAGGAGACTCAGGTAAGGTGGCGGATGGACAACTCGAAGCAGGCGGGACTTGGGGGCTGGGCTTGACCAGGGCCCAGCAGCAGTCCGGCCAGCCTCCTGCCTGGACCGGCTCCAGCATCGCCCCACCCCCTGTGTCAGGCAGCCAGGGCCGGTCTCTGCAGCAGGAAACCCCGCTGCTGGGGAGGAGAGGTGGCAGGGGGGTAGCCCAGGCACCTCTCGGGGAAGGGGAGCAACGCTGGGAGGACAAGGACTGTGTCTTTGTCATCTCCCCATCCCGGGGGGCTTGTGGCATAAGAGGTTCTTGGCAACTTTGTGAGATGGATGGATGGGTGGATGGCAGGTAGATGGATGGGCGGAACAGGTGGGCAAGGGGATACGTGGATGAGTAGGAAGATGCACAGAAAGATGGGTGAGTGGATGGAGGGATGGTTGGACAGATGGATGCAAAACAGACAGGCAGATGGGTAGACGGACAGGCTCATGGAGAGATAGATGGATGGATGAATGAATGGATGGAGAGATAAATGGATAGGTGAGCAAATGGATAAAATTAGTTAGGTGACTGTATAGCAGGGCAAAAGGATGGAGGGATGAATAGATGAATGGAAAAATAAAAGGATGACTGGACTGATGGATGATAGACAGTGCTGTGCTGATAAACATTAACAACCAGTTCTCCAGGCAAAAGAGCTCTGCTTTGTAGCATTTCCGTGGTGTAAATGCTCCCTCCTAACCCATTTCAAGCTACCAACCTGAATCACTGAATGTAAACTTGGAAAGAGACACATATAATTGGTTCTTGGGTTCTTGTGAGCAAGGCCAAGCTGACTCTAGCACACCACTGGGGGAAGGGGTGGGTAAGTAGAGGGAGGAAGAGAGGGAAGGAGGGAGGGAGGGAGGGAAGGAGGGAGGGAGGGAGGGGAGGGGGAGGGAGGGAGGGAGAGATGGAGGGAGGGAGGGAGAGATGGAGGGAGGGAGGGAGAGATGGAGGGAGGGAGAGAGGGAGAGATGGAGGGAGGGAAGGAGGGAGGGGGGAGGGAGGGAGAGATGGAGGGAGGGAGGGAGGGAGGACTGAATGGAAGGATGGATGCGTAACTGCTTACATACTCTCTGGGAAGATGGATGGATGGACAGATGGTCAGATAGACATCCAAATGCATGAAGTGTATAAGCAAAGGTGATATTTGGTCAAGTACACAGAAGACCAAGAGAGTGTCCTTTAGAGCAGCGGACACGCAGGGAGATCGAGTCTGAGCTCTGAAGGCAGGCGAGCCTGCACTCACATCACCAGCCCCGCTTACTCGCTGGAAAGTCTCCCCACCTGCCTTCCAGCTTCCCCACAGGCAAACGGGCCATGATCATAACCACTTCACAGAGCGGCTGAGGAGATCACATAGATGATAGATCCAATATATCGAGAGCTTAGTGATTCCTCAGAAAATGGAAGCGATCATCACACTCTCTTATTCGAATAAGTGCTCACCATCTGTTGAATAGCTGGATGGATGGATGGATGGATGGATGGATGGATAGATGGATAGATGGATAGATGGATGGTGGGATGGATAGATGGATAGATGGATGGTGGGATGAAATATTTTCTTTCAAATTGTATGTGTTGAGTGTGGCTCTACCACTTACTGGCTGTGTGACCCTGACCACGTCATCTAATCTCTCTGAGCTTCGGTCTCGTAGGTTCTCTGATGAACAAAATGAGACTCTTCATGCCCATAACACCGACCACTCTAGGGTGTTAGGAAAACTAAAGGAAACTGCTTGGTGAGCTGCACCACGCCGGCAAAGGTTCAGGATTGGTATACAAAGACGTAACCAGACAGGGATCCGCCTGTGAGTTACTCAGACTCCCCAGAAACTGAGGGGTCTGGTGTATGTACCGAGTTCTGTTCCATCTGCAAATAAGATTAACACAATAAAGCAGTGGTTCTCAACCTGTGGGCTGCGACCCCTTTGGCCGTCGAAGGACCCTTTCACAGGGGTCGCCTAAGACCATCCTGCATATCAGATACTTACATTACGATTCATAACAGTAGCAACATGACAGTTATGAAGTAGCAACGAAAATGATTTTATGGTTGGGTCACAACATGAGGAACTATATTTAAAGGGCCAGAAGGTTGAGAACCACTGCAATAAAGCCACAAAGGCCACGGGGGCCGCCTGATGCCCTCGATTCTCTAAGGGTCAGAAGACCCAGGATCGGGAGTCTCCTGCGGAACTGGCCAGATCCGAGCAGGTCAGAGCTGGCTTTTCTGCCCCGTCCCCTGACCCACTGGATCACAGTGACCTCGGTATGAAGAGGTCACAATCAGAAAGTGGAAAAGTTCAAGCAGCCCACTCCACAGCTGGAAAAAAATTAGTAACTGCCACTGGCCCTGGGAGGCAGCCAGCAGGTACTGTTAGCGTAAGAGGACCAGGCTCCTGCTTACACCTGGGTCGGCAGCTTCCAAGGAGGTCCCTGTGCACACCCTTCGTTCACTTCCTTTGGCAAAAATCCACCCGTCGAGAGCGGCCTCTCGAGACATGAGAAAGAGGAAGTCCACTAGTTTTCTGGCAGCAGGGCAGGGTGCCAGGCCCCTCTGGTCTCCAAGGACAGGACACAACACTTCCCCAGATCTCTGCTGCCCAGCGCCCCGCAGCCACACCACACGGCCAAGCAGCAGTGGCCCCGAAGCATGCAGCCACTGCAGCGCCAGGCTCGGGAGCAGGTGCGTCCAAGAAGCACAGGAGGGCAGAGCACCGCAGGCAGGGGTCGGGGGTCCCTGGCAGAGATGGGTGCTAAAGGAAGGACCCCTCGTCAGCCCCCTGTCCTGGGAGCCTGCTGTTCAGGCAGCAGGAGGGCCTTGGCCCATGGCCAGAGAAAAGGTCCCCGTGGTTAGAAATTCCAGGAACATTGTCTGCTGAGGAAGAGTCCAAAGCCCCAGACTCAGGGTATGAGGGGCCTGAGCTCATGGCAGCAGCCAGAGACCCCGCCCCTAGGGTCAGGCCCCGGGGAGGGCCAGCCCAGCACTCTGAGTGGTCCCTGGTCCCTGGCACCCTCTGGGGGCAGAATGCTGGTTAAAAGGCAGCTTGCCCTGCCACACCCACACCCTGAGCAGGTGAGGCCCTGGCATCTGCGAATTCAACCAGCTACCACGTGATCCTGATGCCCATGCAGGATCCCCATGGATGCCCCAACTCAGCATCCCCATGTCTCTGTCCTCTGAGAGGTGCCTATCGTACCCTCCCAGGCCCCAGCAAGAAGGCAGGGGCTGGGGACATGGCTATGGGGGATGAGGAGGGGCAGCCAGAGGCTGAGGGCAAGGGCTGGCCTAGGCAACAAGTCCACTTGCTCCCACAACCCAGGGCCGGCTGAGATGTGCCCATCCTGCCCTCCTACAGAGAGGCTGCCCAGGGGCCATGGTGGCTTCATAAGGAAAGCCCCCTTTCTCTCTTAAGTGGTGCACGCTGCCCCTTCTGAGGACACAAGCAGGAACGACCTATTTCTGGCTTTTGCCGGACCACCCCTTTGGTCTAAGCCACCTCTCCATCTTCCCCAGCTGCTGCACCCCAGCTCCCAGCTCCTCTCTCCTGGGCCCCCTCCGACCAACCCCAGCAGATCCCACCGTGTCAGGCAGGCACCATGGGTGCAAGGGCTCACGGTTACAGAACGGCATTTTGTCTTCATTCCTGACAAATTATCTCATATTCGGGATCTCCTCCTAGACCACAAAGGTTCCCGGAGCCAGGGTGGGTCTTCCTGGTCCTGTGTACCCCAGCCCACACGCTAAGATGTGGCCTAAGCACACAGTAGGTGTCACAGATGCCTAACTTTCTTGCTAGCAGCATGTCAAGGCCACTTTCCACGGCCCAGCCCACGGAGGCCCAGCCACAAGACCAGGCGAGACCTGCTCACTCCAGGCTTCCTGAGGACTTGGGGGAGCCTTCTTGTCTGCGGGGATCCCCACACTTAGAAAGGGGCAGGAGGCACTAGGAAAGACTTGGAGGCCCCCACAACCCCAGCCCAGGTCTGGGACCCTCTGCCTTGTCCCTGCCCCGCCTCCAGGCTGAGCTCGCCTGCCTGTTTGTGTCTTTTCCGAAGGATCCTGAGAGGGACCCAGTCACCTCTGGTCAGTGAGTAAGAAGCTGCTCCCACTAAATCCCAAATCTCAGCATGGCTAGAGCCTGCCTTCTGGGAGCATCTGTAGAATGAATGGGAGCAGTGAGACTGTCGCAGGAGAGGAGGAGCAGGCAGTCCACCCTGCTCTCGGCCTCTGGCTCCCTCCCGAGATCAGCAGGATGCACCCCATTCCAGCAGAACACCAGAAGGAACCAATGCATGGGTGGCACTTGGAAAGGCCGAGGGAAGGAGCCGCCCAGGCAGCTCTGTCTTGGCCACAGCAGCCCCTGATGGCTCCCCTCGCCAGGCGGAGGCCTGGGTGGGCCTGACTACACAGACCAGTGTGGGGCAGGCAGAGCACAATGATTGCTCCAAGTGCCCACTCTGATCCGCTGGCCGGGCTGCCTGGAGCACCGTGCTGGGGATTCTGAAGCCAGATCTGAGCCCAGGAGCAACATGGTCCATGCCAGGATCTGCCATGGACACGGGGTGGCAGAGCACCTGTGCAGGGATGAGCCACGCCCACCCCAGGGTCAGGGCTCTCCACAACCAAACAGGTCAGCTTCTGGTTCAGGGCTCCTGGGCCACTTCCTCCCTCACACATTCCTGGGAATCACTGTTTAGCTGTGAGTCTCAGGCCTGGCTCTCGCCACCCGCATCGTCCCCTCCCCAAGGGGGTCCCAGTGCCCTGGCCGGGGTGAGAGACGCCGCCGTAGGCTCACCTTGGGCTGGAAGGACACTCGGTGCCTGGCGGGCTCTGCCTCCGGCTTGGCCTCCTCCCCGGAGTCCTCGCTGTAGCTCTCAAACTCGCTGGAGCTCCAGCCTAGGTCCTCGGCCTCCCTGGGCGCCCCGTCCTGGCGCACATCCTCGTACAGCAGGCTCCTCTCCGCCCCTGCTGGCCAAGGGACAGGCTGGTGAGCAGAGGCCCCAAGGCCAAGTTCACCAGAACCCCATTTCTGAACCCAGATGCGTAGGTGGGGGTGGGTATAGGTCAGCCGTGGGCAAACTATGGTCCGCGGGCCGGATCCGGCCCGTTTGAAATGAATAAAACTGAAAAAAAAAAAAAAAAAAGACCGTACCCTTTTATGTAATGATGTTTACTTTGAATTTATATTAGTTCACACAAACACTCCATCCATGCTTTTGTTCCGGCCTCCGGTCCAGTTTAAGAACCCATGGTGGCCCTCGAGTCAAAAAGTTTGCCCACCCCTGGCATAGGTGCATGTCGATTGGCCCTGGAGCTCCACCTCCACTTCCTTGTCCATAGAACAGAGGTGATGACAACACAGCAGCCACCCGGTAAAGTGAGGCGGACACGGGAAGGTGTAAAAAAGCGCAAGAAACGTGTCAGGCACCCAACAGGCTCACTGACTTCCTGTCGTTGTCAGCATTACTTTCCTGGGGTCTGAGTGCTCATCCAGCGCCTCCTAGGCATTTTTTAATAGAAAGGAGAAGACGGCCCTAGCCGATTTGGCTCAGTGGATAAAGCGTCGGCCTGAGGACTGAGGGGTCCCGGGTTCGATTCCAGTCAAGGGCTCGTACCTCGGTTGCAAGCTCCTCCCCAGCCCAGGCTCTGGTCGGGGCTCATGCAGGAGGCAACCAATTGATGTGTTTCTCTCACATCGATATTTCTCTCTGTCTTTCCCTCTCTCTTCCACTCTCCCTAAAATTCAATGGGAAAATATCCTTGGGTGAGGATTAAAAAAAAGAAAGAAAGAAAAAGAAAAGAGAAGATGGAGGAGCAAGCCCTGACTCGGGCTCTCAGCTCTGGCCTCGGCATCCTGGGAGCACACGGAGATGGGCCAGCGTTCGGTGCGCCAGGACCCTTCAGGCCAAGCCTCTTTCCCACAGCGGTGCAGCATGGGCCAGTAGGGGGCGCACCTGCTCCAGTGTCCAGGAGCGGTCCCTTTTCTCCAAGGCCCCACAGGAAATGCCTTGAACCGAAAACCTGGGGACAAAGACCTGAGAGTCCACTAGCCTGGAGAGACAGGTGCCACCAGGGCCTGGGCTCTCTTGGGGTCTCTGTCAAGTGGGTGTGAGATGCGCTCCCAGGCTGTGCTGGGACTGGAACACGGTCCCCGCACAGCCCAGCTCCGCCACTGGGAGCTCTTCGGCTTCACTTCCCGGTCAGTTACCCGCAGACCTGAACTGCAAACCTCACAAAAGCGAGGCCAGGCTCCAAAAATGCCCGCAGATCAAAAGGCTGCTGTCAACACGGAGAAAATGAGGCATTGGGAAGGGGTTTTAAATCTGCTCAGAAAGCACATGTGCTGGGAAGGGAGGGGGGGACGGGGGGCGTGGGTCTTGGGAGACCTCCCTGCAAAATGGGATGGTGATCAGCGGAAGGCGGGGTGAATACAACGTACGTAAAGCTCCAGCGGAGAGCAGCGATCCTTCCCGGTGGGGGCTGTAGGTGGGCTTGGTGTCATCGCACTGACCCCGAGCCGCACCTGCACCCCTCGGGAAAGCGGGGGGCGGGGGTCTGGAAGATTGGCAGCCAAAGAACAAAGCGGGCACACTGAGGCTTAGCTGGAAACTCAGGCCCCAGGATCAGGAGGGAGCATGAGGTTATTTTTAAGCAAAAGATAATAGTGACTAATGTTTCCAGGGAGTGGAGCAGCTGGTGACTAGGCGGTGACCTTTACAGTGACCTTTACGAGGCTGGCTTGATGGTCCTATTACTGCAGTGCGGGCCCCACCAATGCTTGGGGCTGCCCCTGAGGAAGAACCAGGGTGGCATGCCAGATGTCTCCCCACCCCGCCACCTTCCAAGGGCCACCAGCTCCCCGCCCCGCCCACATCTACGTGTCCGTCTCAGTGGATTTTCCCAGAAGCCCTGCAGGTCGGCAGGTGGCAAGTCATCACCCCTCCATTAGCCAGATGACTGGCCCAAGGTCAGGCAAGGGAGGGGCTGCAGACTCCCAGGCCGGGCTCCATCCATTCACCCCTTTTCATGGAAGCCCCGCCATGCTGGGCTCATCTAGAAGTGCTCCCCAGTGGGCACCGTGCCACCAGATTCCTGGGCCTGTGCCAAACCCTCAGCCTCAGGGGCCTCACAGCAGTTCTGGTCCCTGGTCCCCGCCCTCTGCTTCCTGGGGCCTCAGACTTCACTGGTGCTCAAGATCACAGCCCCTTTCCACAGCATTCACCACCACCCGCTGGGCACTCCATGTCATTCTCTACCGGCATCCTCACCACAGCCCAAGCACCTCGCTTTATTGCCCCAAATTAACAGATGCATCGACTGAGGCCCAGAGAGATGAAGAGAAGTCCTCTGGTGTGACCCTCCCCAGAGTCCTGCGAGGTCAGGATGACATTCTGATTTTGTAGGAAGAAACATATAAATAAAATATGTCTGCCCAAAGGCCCCGACCCCTGTGCCCTAATCAATGGCAGAGCCGAGACTGGAGCCCAGGGCTGAGTGTCCACTAGCGTGGGTGGCCTGCGCCTCGGCCGATAACCTCCTCTCCCAGGGCCCGCTGAGCCCACATGAGTCCACACCGGTCTTATACTAACACAGCAGCATCCCTGAGCAGCAGACCTAGTGAGGTGGCCACAGCCTTTTCTCACTCAGTCCTCCCAAGCCCTGCAGGTGGGGACCTGGGGGTGGGGGGTCCTCACCCTGCAGGCTCAGAGCTGGGATTCAAAGGCAGATTGTCTGACACATACTCTTAACCACCTCGGGAAAAACTAGGGACAAGCCATTTCCCCTGCCCTGGGGACACCATAGTGCTGGAAGGTGTGTGTGTGGGGGGTGGGGGGGGGGGGTGCAGACTAGGGACCAAGTAATTCATTGCTTGATTAGATTCAGGTGGGAAAACAGCCCAAAGAGGTTAAACAAGGGCCTTAGTCCTCTCAGATCCCCTGGGTTGGGACCTTCCTACAAGACCCCACTGCCTCCCTACACATTGCGGCCCGTCCCCACCTCTCCTGGATCCAAATGAGTTACAAGCAGGGGTGGTAAGCACCTCCTGGGCTTGCAAAGGGATGCCTGTTGTTGGCCCATTTGTCCCTGTGGCTGGAACAGGAGTCAGGGGGGTGGCTCTGGGGGCCCTCAGGTCTTGTCGTGTCTGTGTGTCTCTCCCGTTGGACTGCACAGCCCAAGGATGGTGAAGGCCACCCCTATCAGACTAGGAGCTCCTCAAAAGCAGGGGCTGTGTTTCCCCGGCATGGGGAGCCCCTGAAAGCAGGCAGAATGGGGTAGTGGAAAAAGCAAGAGTCAGCCCCGCCGGACAGGCTCAGTGGTTGAGAGTCGACCTGTAACCTGGAGGTCACGGTTCGATTCCTGGTCAGGGCACACGCCCGGGTTGTGGGCTAGATCCCCAGTGGGGGGTGTGCAGGAGGCAGCCGGTCAATGATTCTCTGTCATCACTGATGTCTCTATCTCTCTTTCCCTCTCCCTTCCTCTCTGAAGTCAATAAAAATATATTTTTTTAAAAAAAAGAAAAAAAAAAGTAAAAGCAAGGCCCTGGTTGGGTAGCTCAGTTGTAGAGCGTCGTCCCAATATGCCAAGGTTGCGGGTTTGATTCCTGGTCAGGGCACATACAAGAATCAACCAATGCGCCCTAAACGGTTTGGATCAGTGGATAGAGCGTCAGCCTGAGGACTGAAGGGTCCCAGGTTCGATTCCGGTCAAGGGCATGTACCTTGGTTGTGGGCACATTCCCAGTAGGGGCTGTGCAGGAGGCAGCTGATCGATGTTTCTCTCTCATCAATGTTTCTAGCTCTCTAGCCCTCTCCCTTCCTCTCTGTAAAACATCAATAAAATATATATTTAAAAAAAAGAATCAACCAATGAATGCATAAACAAGTGGAAGAGCGAATTGATGTTTCTCTGTGTCTCTCCCTTTCTCTCTCTCTCCAAAAAGAAAAAAAAAAATCAATAAATAAAAATTTAAAAAAGAAAAGGCAAGAGTCAGGCAGATGTCCAGAAAATCCTGGCTGTGTGATCTGGGGCTGGTGGCTTAACCTCTCTGACGCAACTCAACTGGAGCCATAAGCCTGGCCCTGCCGACCTCGTGGGGTTGATTGAACAGTGAGAGCAATTGTGCTTCATCTGGCATCAGACAGTGCCCAAGTCCTCCTGGGGGAGGGGACAGAGCACTGAGCTTGGAGTCAGAATGACCAAGGTTCAAATCCCAGCCCTGCCTCTGCAATATCTTTGTAGAATGAGGACATAATATGCCCAAATCAAAGTCTCAAAGCAGAGTACCAGAGACAAACGGGTGAGTCGCTGGCCTAATGTGTTCAAGCAAAGATGGTGATAATAAATACCCCTCCCCCGGGTGAGAAAGTTGGGCCCAGCTCCAGCAGGACTCACCCCCCCATCTCCCCCACCGCCCCCCACCTCCACTGTCTGAGGCCACAGTCTCCCTGCCCTCCAGGCCCACAGAGGGCCTCACCGCAGAGCAGGGCACAGGCTTTTCAGCTTTCTCCGCTTCACCATTCAGCTTAACAAGCTGTCACTGTCCCTGCCAGCCCAGACTATCACCCATTTTCCTGAGGGAGGAATCGAGGCTTGGAGAGGTGAAATCACTGTCCTGAGTCCCTTCAGCCAGAGCCTCCCCAGCCATGAGGCCCTAACCCCTGCCCCGCCCCAGCCCGGCCCCACCCTCAGCCATCTCCCACTCTCCCTGGATGACTCCAGCGGTTTTTAAAAGCAGGAAGGAGGGGCAATTGGCTGGGTGAGGAGGGAAGGAAATGGAAGAAGACAGACGGTCCCCAGTCCCAGCCCCTCCCACCGCAGCCCCAGAGAAGCATGAAAGGGGCCCTACCGGGCTGACGGGCATCCAGGTTCTCACACGGGACGTCGTCGTAAATCACATCTTCATCCAGGGCGGGGAAAGTGAACCGGTCGACTGGGCGTGAAGAAGGAGAGGAGAGAGCACAAGGAAGGCTGTGGCGGCCCAGGCGGAGGCGGCTGCCAGACTGACATCAGCTGCACCAGCTGGCAGCTCCCCGCCAGCATCAGCATCGGGCAGCCTGGGCCCTGGGGAGCCCCTGCCCGCCACTCTCAGAGGACACTGTTCCGCCCCTTCTCTCCGCCTCCACCCCTCCCAGACCCCACGGCCTCCCTGCCACCCACAGGCCTACCCACCTGGCTCAGGGCACCTGCAGGGAGCAGGGAGCAGGGAGCAGGGAGCAGACCCAGTGCCCAGGGCACATTTTCAGTGGCCCAGGCCCCCAGCGCTACCCCAGAAGGAGCCACCTCCCACCCAGGGGCAGGGGAGGGCCAACCAGCCCTTGTGAGAAGTGGAAATAGGGGGCGGGGGATGGACTTGGAGCGGGGGATTGAGAAGAGCCCCCCAAAACCCAGCCCGCAGAGTCCTGATTGGTGAAGATTTCAGCAAATGAGCACAAATGAGACAGAGCTTAATCCCGGAACAGGTCACTGGGAGGTCTATGAGCAGGGCAGGGCGTGCCCCCGCCCATGACAGTAGCCCAATAGATGCAAAATCTAGTGAGGTCTTTCCCCAAAATTGTGCCCACTCTCTGCCCTCTTTAGGGTTTTGAATGCCAGTCCCCAGCCCTGATGGGAGCCTGGCCTCGCCCCACAGCCCTCTGGGAAGGTCTGGGACCTCTGAAGTCTCGCCATCCTAACTGCAATGCCTCCAGCTGCCCCGGGGGCCCCAGAGCCTGTCAGAGCCTCGACCTGACCTCCTTGCCTTCCTCCCACAGACTCTGCCTCCCAGTGGCTTCAGACCTGGCCACCTCTGTCCAGGTCCCTAGCTCTGGCCTTCGCCTCCCTCTCCGCCAGCCTCCTCACTGGTCCAGCCCACCCCACCCTGTCTCCTGTCTCCGAAGCTACACCCCCACCCCACAGGGATGGACTGAAATGCAATGTGGCTGCATCACCAGCCTCTCCTGGCTCCCTGTTGCCTTCGAAAAAGTGTGGCCCCTGAGGCCCAGGAGGAGGCGGGGAGGTGGCAGCCTCACCCCGCCCGGTACCCCTCCGATGCAGCACTCCATCCATCACCCCGAGGCTGGCTGCTCCCTCGGGCTCCTGCACAAGCCGCCTGGACACTCTTTCCCTGACCCCGACCCCTGGCCCCTGACTCCCTGGCTCTCTGCCTCTGGGGCGCATGGGTTGTCCCCACTCTGCCACCCGCCCTCTTTGTGGGAGCTGCCTGCCTGTGTGTCTGGCTCTGCTCCCAGAGCCACCTCGTCCTGGTCACGGGGGACACCCACCAACTGCTTCGGAAGTACGGGAGGAGCCAATGAACGGCTGAATGTGTGGTTCACGCCTGGGCCGTGGCTCTCGGGGCAAACGGGGGCAACTGTCAAGTGTGGACAGTGTCCAGGCCACCCCAGAACTGCCACCCAGCCCACGGCAGCCCAGCCCACAGCAGCCCCGCCAGGGAGGACGACCTCTCAGCTCACACAGCCTCCCTCCCCCCCGCCATCAGCTCTCAGGTTTTCCTGGAACCACCCCCCAATGGCTAAGACCCAAGTTGGGGGGTGGGGGACTTACTTCGACGGGAACTCTTCCGCTTCCAGCTGGAGCGCCGGACCCCGGACAAAGCTGTGTCCACAGCATCTCCATTGCTCACCACAGCCGCCACCCTGCAGGCCGAGACAGAGTGCCAGTGAGCCGGGAGGGCAGGGGACAGAGCTGATGGCAGGAGAGACAGAGAAAGCTGGCTCTGGAAGCCTCCAGCAGCCCCTCACCAGAACAGCAGGTACATGAGGGGCAGGGCGGGCTGACGACAGGAGCCTCTGGCCCCCACGGCCATCAGTCTGGAGGCTTTGGAGGGTTGGAACCAGGCCCTTCCTCATCTTTAGAAGGCAGCCTGCGGCTTTAAGGGCATGAAGATCACAGTGCTCCCCAGGATGGGCACCCGTCTTCCCTCCAGCAAAGGCTCAGGGGGAACCTCCCTCTCCCCATTGTTCTCCCACCTGGAGCTGGAGGCCAGGGCTGGGGACCACCTCCTGGGAGAAAGAAGGACTTGCAAAGGTTCACAAACCACACCTGAGAGACAGAGCTGAGGACAGGTTGTGCTCAGACACTGGCTTCCCGGGAGCAGACACGCAAAGGGAAAGGGTGGGGAAGCAGCAGAGCCAACCCAAACCAAGTGAGCACGTGACCGTCCGCAGTGCCGTCCCTCGGACATCGTGGGCCCCTGGCATGATGTGGCACAACACGAGAAGGGCGCCTGCCTCTGCAGTCTTCTTACCCTAACCCAGTGGTGGTGAACCTATGACACGCGTGTCAGAGGTGACACGCGAACTCATTTTTTTGGTTGATTTTTCTTTGTTAAATGGCATTTAAATATATAAAATAAATATCAAAAATATAAGTCTTTGTTTTACTATGGTTGCAAAGATCAAAAAATTTCTATATGTGACACGGCACCAGAGTTAAGTTAGGGTTTTTCAAAAGGCTGACACGCTGAGCTCAAAAGGTTCGCCATCACTGCCCTAACCCATAACCCCAGTCCAATCATGAGAAAAATGCCAGACAGACCCAGACAGAGGGACATTCCACAGAATGCCTGCCCGTCACTCCTCAAGGCTGTGGGGATCATAAAAACCAAGAGAAGACTGAGAAACTGTCCCAGACCAGCGCAGGCCGGGCAACAACTACATGCAACCTGGGACCCTGGATGGGACCCTGGGACAGAGAAAGGACACGAATAGAAAGATGGGCAGAACTCGGATCAAGTCTGGAGTTTAGGGAATGGTTCTGTGGTTTTGACAAAGGTCCCGCCGTCACCTAGGAAGTTAGCAACGAGAAAACAGGGTGAGGGGTGTACAACAGAGCTCCAGGCGCTACCATTACAGCTTTCCTGTAAGTCTGGAACCATTCCAGGTGAAAGTTGTTTGTGGGGTGTGTGTGTGTGTGTGTGTGTGTGTGTGTGTGTGTGTTTGCTCAAAAGACAAAGTCCACATCTGCCATTCCAGAAGGGAGAGGCCTCCAACTGTCCAAGACAGCAGCTACTGTTGCCAAGAATTGACTCGAATTTCTCGGTACCTGAGCCCTCAGCCCTCAGTCGAGGCCAGGTGGGGAGATGAAGGCCAGGACAGTCCAAGGAGGAGGAGGGCGGAGAATGAGCAACACCTCCTTGGAGTGGCCCTTTGCCTTCTCCCTCCCAGCTCTGCAGGCAGCAGGCGGAGGAACCTGCCCAAGATCATGCTGCCCATGAGGGGCAGAGCCAGACCGGGGAGCCCGCTTGCCGGGGCCCAAAGCTGGGCTCTTAAGACTGCGTCTCAGATAACAGAGCCCGGACAGCTGGGAGAATGGAGATGCTCTAGTCCGTGCTGTCCCGTGAGCCTCACGTGGCTACTGAGCACTGGGGATGTGGCTGGTGGCACTAATGTGACCAAGGAGTTTAATTTTATTTTCAGTCGCTCTGTGTGGCTAGTGGCCACTGCATAGGACAACGCAGGTCTAAGTCACCTGTTGGAGAAGCTAGTCTCAGCTCAAAGCTCACTGCCAGAAGTCAGCAGTGTTGCCCTGAGGTGAGGGACACGGTCCTGGGGTAAGACTTTACCCCAGCAGGAAGTCAGTGCCAAGAGGGGAATTCCAGCACCAGGAAGGGGTGCTAGAATGAAAGGAGCTGCCTGAGCCCCCATCCCTGCCAGCTGCTTCCCTGAGCCACCACCTGCTCAAACAAGAGATGTCTTTGAAGGTGCTGGATCCAGCCGCTCCGAAATGCCCAGACAGAACCAAACCGCTCCAGCCGGAGTCAACATGAGAGTTTGGCAGGATCCGCTGGAAAGTTTGCATGGATGCACTAACAGTGACAATTCGTGACCATGACGATGCACCTGTCAGATGCCACTCATTTCACAAGAGGGCATAGGAGGTAGATAGTATCATCCTTGTGCTACAGATGGGGAAACTGAGGCCCATCGAGACCTAAGGACTTACCCAGCGTCACTGGGTGCATCGCAGGGACCTGGGTCTAATGCCCAGGCTGCCTGCCTGCACAGTCTGTGCTATTCAATCAGACCTCTTGGAGGTGAGAACTTGCATGTAAATATTCACTGACATCACAGATTCGCTGTGACCTAAGGTCACCTGGCCTTGCTAGACAATTTAGCCATCATTTTTTTTTTTTTTTTTTCAAAAGGAAGGAGAGAGAGTGCGCTCAGCAGAGCCAACAACACAAGTTCCAGTCTTCGTCTAAAAGAAATCGTCATGGTTCCTGGTACTTCCATGCTAGACATTTTGCCACGAGCATTTTCACCGCATAACTAAGTGGCCGGAAGGCAATATTGCCATAAAAAAGGGTAAGTTTGGTTTGTTGCTGTTTTGTGTCATCAGCTTGGTTGTCAGTCTGGCTTCATTTCTCCGTTGACAAACTGGTGGAGAAAACAGTTAAACGGGGTGATCTTAAAATAGTCAGCATTTCTTCCAGATGACGATTTACCAGCGAGTTGGTTGTTTATTTCGAAACACAGTACGTTGGGAGGAGGGAGAGGCCGAGGCCTCTCTTTGAGGGTGCAAGGTGAACCCACGTTTCCCATGGAAGGAAGACAAGTGCGTAGGTACAATCCACAAAATAAAATCAGTCATTTGCACAGGATTGCCATCAATCTAAACACATATTAAATGCATTCAAATATTTTGTATTTCACAGTAACTTTTTGTTGTTGTTGATTTTTAGACAGAGAGAGAGGAGGGGGAGAGAGAGAGAGAAAAAAAAATCAATGTCAGAGCAGAACATCAATCAGCTGCCTCCTGCACACTCCCTACTGGAGATCAAGCCCACAACCTGGGCATGTGCAACCTTTTGGTGCACGGGACGACACCCACCCACTGAACCACACCAGCCAGGCCACACAGTAGCCTTTTTAATTCTGTTATTCATTTTTAATGACCCTCTTATTTGTCATGATTTTATCTCTTTTATGGCAAAATTGCCGTACGGCCAATTAGCTATGTGCTTATGACAAAGATGCTACAACAAAAATACTGGACATGAATCATACCACCCAGCTCCCAGGCGGCAGTGCAGCTCAGCCAGAGAAGAGCTGAGAAGGCCCAGGGTAAACCCTAAAGGTGGCATCAAAGGGAAGCGGATGGGTGTGTATTTTGGGGTGAGATTAGGCAGCTTTAGGAGGGCTTGGGAAATACTTTATGACACCCCAAAAGCCAGGTGGGGCTGAAAACATAAGCCTCTTGGTTGCACATTATCAAAAACACGGTGAACTTAATTTTTAACTTTAATTTAATTTGAAATAGCCACCTGTGGCTTGTGGCCACCATACAATACAATGCAGATCTAAGCCACCTGCTCTATTAAAGAAGCTAATCTGGGCTCATTTCCACTGAGCAGACATCCCAGGTCCTGGCCTTCTGGGCTGAGGAGTGGGGGTCACACAGCACAGAGAAGTCACCCTCCTGCCCACTCATTAAATGAGCTAACGCCGGGAAAGCACTGAGCTGCCACACACGGACCTGCCTCCATGGCTGAGGCAAGCAGAGCCTGGGAGCCCCACGGGAGGGAAGAGGCCGGTGCCTGTGGGTGGACAGGTCTTCCTAGGCTTGCGGGAGGCCACCCCCTATACTCTGTTGGTATCTACTCTGTGCCAGGAGATGTCAAATGCTTGAGGGTGAGTATATGTCTTACTATGACCATTTCACAGATGAGGAAAGTGAGGTTCGAGATTGGCAAGTATCTCGCTCCAGGTCACCTGGCCAGCAAGCGACAGAGCTGTGATCTGCCCGCAAGCCTTGCTCTGACACCAGCTCTGCTTACATTCCCTGGGCAGATGCGGAGGAAGGGGCCTCGCAGGCAAGGGGAGAGGAGGCATGGCAAGAAATGAGCCTGGGGCGCCTCCTCCCTCCCTGCCAAAGCCACTGGCCCACCCTGTACCCACCCCAGGGGCAGCCTCTCCCAGCTGCTGCCCGGCAGGAAGGAAGTCTACTCCCTGTAAGCAAACACTCCTGCTGGGGATTCCCCAGAGAGTAAAGGGGCCATAAAAGGCAATAAGTGGCCAATTACCTCACCCTTATCTGAGCTCCCTGCACCTCTGATGCCTCTCTGCGCCTAGAGAACAAGGTAGAGAACAAGGCCGGCTGGGGTGACAGCAGCCATGCAAGGGGGACCCTGCCACCGGATATGAAGGAAAGGAGCATCCATATGGGGAGAATCCGAGAAGGAGAGGCTCAGGGGGGAAGAGGAAGCAGGGGACAGACAAAGGACCTCTCCCAGGTGCAAATTCATGGACCAGACTGGTCGAGTACACCAGAAGGCCACCACGGAGCTCGGGGCACTTTCGGAGCCCGCCCCCTCTCTCTCCAGGAGCAAGCCTGAGACAAGAGGGGGGTGAGTGCCCAATGACACCAGGGACCTGCTCTGCCCTGGTGGCCCCATTCCGTCAGCACAGTGGACACTCAATGGTGATCGATGTCTTTCAGCCTATTTTACGATAAGAAGCCCCACTGCTACCCAGCCAGCGTGGCTCCGTGGTTGAGCATCGACCTATGAACCAGGAGGTCATGGTTCCATTCCCGGTCAGGGCATATGCCCGGGTTGCGGGCTCGATCCCCAGTGTGGGGCGTGCAGGAGGCAGCCGATAGATGATTCTCTCTCATCACTGATGTTTCTCTCTTT